ATGCTGACCATGAGTCTTTTGAATCCTTTGGCATTTCTTTTGTGTATAGAAAATAAATGCCTGTCCCATATTTGAGTCATATTGTACTTTAAGTGTCTTTTTACTCACCCTTTTGGGGAAAGTTTAGACATCAATCTAAGTCCTAAGCAAGTTTTCCCCTGGATACTAGGATGGGACACTTAACAAGCCAAAGAGCATGAGAAAACCCTTCTCTCTACAGGCCAGCATCACCCAACACTGAACCCAATCTACCTAGCCCATGGGCTTATAGCAGAGGGACTTCTTTGTGGAAGAGATAATGGGTACACTGCCATAGCCCCTTGGGCCCAGCAGTGGCTTTTCAACGATAGATGTAGAAAAGCTTTGGGTAGGTTGTATCGAAATTGCCCCCCCCAAAAAAAGTAGCAATACTCTGTATGTTAATTTCTGTATCTGTAGAGAGGAGAAAGGGAAGGAGCTAACCAAGTGTGATTGTCACAATAGCCTTTTTTCTGATTATGAAAAAAAAGTCTGTCATGGGAAATGAGAGGACAGAGTATGACTGGTTCCCCTCCCCCCATCTCTTTTCAGTTAGCTACAGGGACTTGTTGTAGTCAAGCCATGCATAAGAAAGAAAAAAAAGGGGGCAGCTAGGTGGCGCAATGAATAGAGCACAGGCCCTGAAGTCAGGAGGACCTGAGTTCAAATCTGACCTCAGACCTTGATACTTACTAGCTGTGTGACCCTGGGCAAGTCACTCAACCCCGATTGCCTCACCAAAAAAGCAAAAACAAACAAACAAACAAACAAAAACTGGAGAGCAAAATGGCAGAAAATTTGGTGTTTAGACCAGAGGTTCTTCACCTTGTTTGTGTCATGGAGGCCTCTGGTAGTCTACTAAAGTCTATGGATCCCTTTTCAGAATAAAGTTTATAAACGCATAAAATAAAATATGTAGGATTACAAAGGAACCCAATTAAATTGAAATGAAGTTGTCAAAATATCACAAAGACAAGTTCATGGACTCCAGCTTAAGATCCCCTGCTTTAGACTAGCAGCTTATACCACATGTCTCAATAAGTTCCGAAGGATATGTAATCTAAATAGCAAAGATTATGCCATAAGAAAACAAGAAGAGAGACAGATCAGGACCCTTTCATAGCTATGATTAGGGGGTGAATTCTTTTTTTTTTCTTAAGTTTTTTTTATTTAATTTTTTTTACAATGATCAAGCATTCATTTTCCCTCTCCTATCTTCCTCCACCAACTGAAAAGGAATATAAAACTCCTGTATCGTATAAACACCATCAGGCACAGCATATTCCCACAATGATCAAGTCCAAAAGTACAGTTCTCATTCTCCATATTAGTCCATTATCTGTCATGGGGTGGGCAGTGTTCTTTTTCAGTCCTCTGGAATCATGGTTGCTCTTTCAGTTGATCAGAGCTTTCAGGTCTTTCAGAGTTGTTCATTTTTATAATATTGATGTTACAAATGGTTCTGGTTCTGCTTCAGTCTCTATCAGTTCATACAAACCTTCAAATATTTCTTTGAAATAAGCTTTTTCCTAATTCCATTACATTTGTAAACTGCAATTTATTACCCAATTCCTCAATTGAGAGATATCCTCTTAGTTTTCTTTTGCCACAAAAAGCTGTTCCATTTTTGCACAAATCGTTCCTTTTCTCTTCTTTTTTTCTGCACTTAATGGTATTTTATTTTTTCCAATTACATGTAAAGATAGTTTTCAGCATTCACTTTTATAAGATTTTTAATTCCAGATGATTTTCTCCCTCCCTCCCCTCCCCCCTTTTCAAGATGGCATGCAATCTGATATAGGCTATACATGTAAAATCCTATTAGATATATTTCCACATTAGTCACGCTGTGAAGGAAGAATCAGAACAAAAGAGAAAAACCACAAGAACTGCATTTCCCTCCATCCTATTCCCCCCACCCCATTTATTTGATTCTCTCTCTCCTTCCACCCTGTCCCTGCTCAAAAGTGTTTTGCTTCTGACTACCCCCTCTCCCAATCTGCCCTCTCTTTTATCACACTGCCCCCTTCTTTTATCTCCTTCCCCTCCTACTTTGCTGTAGGGTAAAATAGATTTCTATACTTAGTGTGTGTATATTATTCTTTCTTTGAGACAATTCTGATGAGAGTAAGGTTCACTCACTCCCTTTCACCTCTCCCCTCTTCCCCTTCACTATAAAAGCTTTTTCTTGCCTCTTTTATGTGAGATAGGGGGTGAATTCTTAAGTAAAGAAAGAATATAGGTGATTAGAAAAAAAAATAGATCATTTCAATTACATGAAATTGAAAAGATTTTGCATAAACAAAATTAATCCAACTAGGAGAAGTTAAAGAAGGTCAACTACGGAAAGTATTTCTATCAAAAAATCTCTGATAAGGGTCTGATATTCAACATAAATAAGCAACTAGCAGGAAAATATAAGACCAAAAACCATTCCTCGATAGATAAATGATCAAAGACTACGTACAATTTTCAAAAGAATTGCAAACAATCACCAAATAAGGGAATGCTTCCAAATGACTGATAATAAGATAAATGCGAATCAAAACAAATCTGAGGCTTTACCTCACTTGAAGCAAATTGGCAAAGATGCCAAAAGATGTAAATAGTCAATGTTGGAAGGCTTGTGGGAAGAATGAGAATACTAATGTTCTCTTAGTAGACTTATGAATTGGTCTAAACATTCTGGAACCAATTTGGAATGACGCAAATAAAATGAGTAAAACATCCATACCCTTTGATAAAGAAATACCACAGTGAAGCACAAACCCCAAGGAAGTCAGTGATGGAAGAAGAGGCCCCATATACACCAAAATATTTGTAACAGTACTTTTTATTGTAGCAAAGAACTAAAAACAAAGTAGATGCTTATCAATTAAAAAAAACTAAACAAGTTATGGTCTATGAATATAGTGAAATATTACTGTGTCATAAAGAATAATGAATATGATGAATAAGAGAAGTACGGGAAGCCTTCTATGAATTGTTGTAAAGTGAAGTAAATAGAACCAGGAAAATAATATACACAACTACAATGTTCTTTCTAAATAGAAAGGACAATAAAACAAATGAAGCCAAATGCTGTGAAATTATAACTACCAAGCCTGGTAAACCTGGTAGACCAAAGAAGTCTAACAAGAAGGTACCTTCCCCACTTCTTTGCGAGATGGGAGACTATGGACATGGAACACTGTAGAAAATATCAGACTCTTCTCATATGTCAGTTAGTTTGGCCAAATCGTTGTTTGTTTGTTTGTTTTTTCTCTTTTATTATTTGTTACAAGGGATAGCTCTCCCAAAGGGAAAAGGAGAATACACTGGGAGAAAGTAAGTGATATAAAAACAGAAGATACCAATAAAATTTTATTTTTTTAAAAAATAGGAGTGCTAAAAAGGCATTTTTTTCCTCAGATAAGAGTAAGTAATTAATTAAAGGCTTTTAAACAGCAACTATAGAAGCGCAATGTACAAGCTGTCATTAGACAGCTATGAACAAACAAAGCCCAGAACAAAAGTTAAAACTTTCTTCTTTAGGAAGATTCAGAATTAGAATAAGCAGCAAAGGAAAAAAAAAAGAATGTCAAGTTGAAAGAGGTGGTACTTAACTTGTACCTAGGTGCTCGTATTTGTTTTTAAAATTCAACAGTTGTTCTGTATTGTATTCTGACATATGTGTCATGGCATTGTTACTAATTAGTGAGTAGGTAAATAATTTATACTATTCCTTTGATAAAGAGTTCTTTTTAATAGCAGAATCATAATCTGCACTGGAGGCAACATGTTGTAACAAAAGAAGCCCTAGCCTTTGAATCATGAGAGTTGTGTTCACATTCCAGATCTAACACTTACTAACCATAGAACGTATCTTTACCTCATCTGTGAAATAAGGATTATAATACTTGCATTACCTAATGGAGTTATCATGAGAAAATCACCTTATAAACCTTAATGTGTTATGATTATTATGTACCTATCTGGTGTCTCATTTGTAGTTTCCTTTGTTGAATCAGCATCCATCTCCCACCCCATAACCACAGATATTCACAAGACCTAGTCCCAGGCCTTCTTTTCCCTCTCTGTAACTCTCCTTTGGTGATAGCATCTGCTCCCATGTGCCAAATTACCATTTCTATGTAGAAGACGCTCAAATCTATATATCTAGCCCTAATTTCTTTCTTGAATTTGAATCCCCTCATCACCAACTGCCAATTAAACATTTCTACCTGAAGGTCCCGTAGGTAGCTCAAACTCAACATTTCCTAAATAGAACTTACCTACATCAGGCTTTAGACTTAATAAACATTTGTTCAACTGAATGTTCAAATCCATGCTAATTAAGCTAATGTATGGGTTAGTTTAATTGCTTGGCCTATGGGCTTAAATCCAAGAAACAACTATTCTATTAGTAATAGCTGCTGGAAATGAGGGTAGACCATTTAGGAGGAAGGAGAAAAGAAGGGAGTAAGTATTTATATAGCACCTACTATATGCCAGGCACTGTGCTAAGTGCTTTAAAAAACAAATATTATTTCATTTGATTCTTATAACAACCTTGTGAAGTAGGTGCTGTTATTATCTCCATTTTACAGTTGAGGAAACAGAGGCCCACAGCAGTTAAGTGACTTGCCCAGGGTCACCCAACTAGTCAGTGTCTGAGGTCAAATTTGAACATAGGTCTTCCTGACTCCAGACCCAGCACTCTAATTGCAAGGAAATTAGCTACCCCAAGAAGGAAATAGTCTGGAAAATCAGACCTGTTAAGTTTCAGCAAGTACCACAACCATTTCATACACTTAAATTGGCAGATTCAACAAGACTCAAAGGAGGGTCAAAATTTATAGGTGCAGATAAGACCACCAGTGACCGTCTTCCAAGGGAGCACCTAGAATAGGTACAAATGGGCAAATAAGATTTTCTCACCCCAAATTTTAATAACATCATAATTTTTCTCTGGAACATAGGGAAAAAGAAGTGTCACTCACGGTTAGACATCCACTGAGGATTCTTCGGTAGGAATTCCTTGCATCTCTCACTCCTTCCTGCAGAGGCTGTTCTACCTGGGTAAAGCACTGGTCCACATTCCTCTCTCCAGCAGCTGTATTCTCTCTTCCACAAATCTCCGAAGGCTGCTCAAGTGAAGGTATTCATTCTGGACAGCAGAAACCGCAAGAGATGTTACCTCACAGCCCCAAGGGAAAGCAACGGCAGCCTCCTATCCAGGGCATCCCCTCCTGGCTAATCAACAAAGCCCTAAACTAGGTCCTGGTGCCTTAGAAAAATGAGGACAACAATATCTAGGGGCCTTCTCCCTTTCCATGGCAGTCTTCTGTCCCTAGACTTCAAAGGCTCCCATCACTCCATTATGTTTATCTGATCACCCTGCTCCCTTATCTGGCTCCAGACCACCAGGCCCTGGGGGTCTATCATCATGGGGTCCTTTTCCAAGGCTCACATTCCCCTACCACCGCATCCCCTGCCTGTTGACACCTTCCCTCCCCACCTCCTCTTATTGTTTGAGGAGTTAGGGTTATCACAGGGGACTGGGAGGTACCCAACTAAGGAGAAATGTGATCTCCACCCCTTCTCATCCCCTCAACCGAATTTGTCCTAGCCAAAAATTTTCCTAGCTATGGATCTGCTAATCATCAGTTACTCTCAAAAAGATCTTGGGATTTTAATGGACTACAAGCTCAGCATGAGTTAACAGTGTGATGTGATAGCCAAAAACAAAAAAACCCTAACAGGATCTTGGAATACATTGACTCATACATAATAAACTCATGGCAAACACAATTGAGAATACTAATTGTCCCATTGTACTCTCTGCCCTGTTCAGTTCTGTGTGGCACAGTTTAGGAAGGACATTGATCAACTGGAGAGTGTTCAGAGAAGGATGATCAAGAACATGTCATAGGACATGAAGGGACTCAAAGCTGGCACCATTTAAGGGCCACAAGAAAGAACTAGGTGCATTCAACTTGTAGGGGAGAAGACAGGGAGGAACATGACAGCTGGGCTCAAGCCTTTGAAAGATCATCACCCAAAAGAGGGATTAGTTTTGCTCTGCTTAGACCTAGAGGATGGGGTCAAAAGTGAGGGGTGGCAGCTGCAAAGAGGCAAGTTGAAACTTGATGTCAGGAAATACTTCCTAATAATTCAAGAACAGAGTGGAAGAGGATGGGCTCCCCCATTGGAATTCTAAAAGCAAGGAAGGGCCAGAAGATGATTTGCTGGGTATGTTACAGAGTGCTGTTGTTATATTCCTTTTTTAAATGAGAAAACTGAGTCTCAGAGTGGTTAAATGACTTGCCCAGGATCACACAGGTAGTAAGAGTCTGAGGCAGATTTAGAACTCAGGTCTTCTTCTGAGTCCAATTTCCCTTATAAAGTAGTTCAGTTAAGCAAAACAAATCAACACATTGATCTTGACTGACCATGGATGCCTCATTCTGCAGCTAGGGTCCACCACCTCTGTGTTGAGAAGAGGTAATTACATTTCACCATCAGTATTTGCCTAGGTTTTTTTCATTCTTTGTAAAATGAAGAGGTTGGACCAGGTGACCTCTAAGATCCCCCCCACATTCTAACATTCAATGATTCTACATACAAGACCCTGTGCTAAGCATGAAGTGACCAAGGAAATGAGTTCTCAGTACTCAAAAGAAAACAAAGAGTAACTGGAAAAAAACACTATAATTTAAAAATCATTTCTTTCCTAAACTCTCAGTTTATCTGAGTTATGATGTAAAGAGCTGCATTTTTTAATTGACCTTGTACATTTTTCAGGTTGGGTTTTATTTTCTGTTTTTTGCTGTTTATTTGTTTGTTTTTTCAAAACTAAAAATAACCGACAAGATTTCCACTCCAAACTTTCCAACAAAGGGTTGAAAGCAAGCATCCAAAATGAAGGCCAAGGAATTTTTGGAAATGTTCACTCCAATCAGATGGCTATCACCAAAGTGCCATGGAACATTCACCACCCTACCTTCCCCACTGCCATTTCTATCCCTCTACTTCCAATCACCCAGTGTCTAGCTCCAAGGACAGAAATATGCCCTGGAACTTGGCTACACTTCAAAATCAGGAAAGAATGGCAAGCAGTGTAGATCTTTCACCATTTGTTCTGTGAGATACTTTTTCTTGTATTTGTGAAAATAAACCAGCCTTGCAGGGGACCACAACTGCATGGTTTTCCATAAATGTTTCCAAAAGCAATCTATTGCTGGGTGGAAAACCTGATTTCATCCCAAATGAAAGTTTTTCCCAGAAAGAAGTTCAAATGTTCTTCCAGAAGCTTCAGAGAACCAAGGATGGGTATGTGACATGCCCTTTCCCAAGGATTTTTTTCCCACAAATTATATCCAAAATAAAGATCACACGAATTGAGCTTAAAAGGCAAAAGAAAAAAAAATACAGGGTGTACCAAAAAGTTTTAGTTCAGATTTAAGCTATTTAAGCTTAAAACTTCACTAAGACTTTGGAGAAACTCTATACATTTTGTTATTTAGTAAGCTGCAAATCATTGACTCATTGGATGTCAGCATAGGAGGGGACCTCATAGGGCATCTAACTCAATAACTACTTGAAGTAGGAATTCTCTCTACCCCGTCCCTAGCAAGTGGTCATCTAGTCTCTGCTTGAACACCCTAGTGACAAAGAGCTCAGTGCTTGCAGAGGCAGATGATTCCATTTCGGGGCAGCTTGAATTCTTGGGAATCTCTCCCTTATATTGAGTTGATATTTGTCTCTCTACAAGACAAAACTAATCCCTCTTATACATGATAACCCTTCAAATATTTGTTGTTTTCTCTAAGTCTTGTCTAAATTCCCTCTGTGATTTGTATGGGGTATGGAGGTGAACAGGAAGATACAGATTTCCCCTTAAGTGTTCCCCATGTTCACTTGTCTCTCCTTGGCTTTATCTACACCAGTTTAAAAAGTGAACATTTTACTAAAACTTCAGAACCCATCTGCTTAGCTATTTTTAATCACTAGCTGTGTGACTTTGAACAAGTCACTTTGAACTTAAAACACTGTTTTGAACAAAACAGTGAATTTCATTATCTGTCAAATAAGATGCTGCTCCCCAGCTCTTCCCTCTAAAGACTATAAGCTACAGGGAAGGTGCCAGTCTGCATTGGTAGGAGGGATTTCCTCATCAGAAGTGCCTCCAAACCAAATAAATCAAAGGTCATTTTTTTTAAAGGCAGTTGAATTAAATAATGATTCCTCTCCATTACTGACATGCAGAAAATGGTGGCCAACTCTCCTCCCTTCCTCTCTTCTCCCATCCCACCATCCTGGCCACACTCCTGGAGCCAGCCATCCCCATTTCTTTTTGCACCATCTTCAGACCTTATTGCTTGGTTTCAACTCCGCCAACTGAGATGTGACTCTGAAGAGAAAGGAAGGAAACAGCATGGCAGGTAGGGGACATCATGCACTGAATCATAATGAACTCGAAGGGATCCTAGGGAACCGTTTCATCTAATCATTTTATTTCACATGTACCATTTAGTTGCAGCAAATCTCTGGTGCTCAATGTTTTCCTCTCCATTTTCCTGCCACCTACAGAGAGAACTTGAAGTGTGGGGGGCTAGGAGCTGAATTACTCATAACTTCTAATATAAAGAGTGTTTCAAAAAATCATTTAAGTGACTTGCTTTAAGTCACAAATTAGGAAGTAGTAGAGTTTTGGAGCCAATTCTCTCTTGACTCTCAGCCTAGGACTCTTTCTACTCTCCTACCTCATCATCAATGAGGTTCATAATGCCCTGGACCCCTTCTGACGTCTGAAAAAGGGTGGAGGTTTTTGGGGAGGAGTTCCCCCAGTCATAATGACTAAGTCTATTGGTGTAAGAAAAGGAATAGAAAAAAGGAAAATTTAGAGGAGAATAATTGAATAAGGAAAAAGAAAGTCTGCTGACTCTTTCCTGAAACTGTCTTCCCACTTCCTGTATCTCTCAATATGCAAAAAAGGCATGCAGCATAAAAGTGTGCTACGGTGGAATCTTTAAAAAGCAGTCACTTGATTTGTTGGTAACATTCCAGAAGAGGATAAACAGAAAACATGCATGAGACACAGCATGGCCAAGAGAGCTTGCAGCAAGGAGCAATTGGCCAGAGATCCCGTGCCATGCTGGTAGCACAGGGTAATGTGGGAGGAAGCCTCCAGGGAACATCCCACTCCAGATTTCAACGGGCTATTGGCAAGGAAGGAGATACAGTGCTGGGTAGAGATCGCTATCCATCACGAGGAAAGACTTTTCCCTTTCCTCTTTTGTGATTTTGATATGGGGCTATGTTTGATAGTCTTCCTTCTACCTTCTGGGTAGAAATGTCCTCACAGACTCCACCACTCAGGAATTTTAATGATGTATTTTGTTTGTTTTTTATTCCATCCATTCAGTAAATATACTTTAATCGACTGGATGAGCCTATGGCATGTGAAGCTGGAAACATGATAAGAATTTTAATAGAAGTAGGGGCTGAGCTTTTTCAATAAAAGTATGAATTTTTGAATACTTATACTTCCCAGGCTTCTACCGAATAAGACAAGACAGAACTAGGCTGGTTTCTAAGATACCAAGAGACTGGGAACCTACAGCCTGCAGAAAGAACCTGAGGCCAATTATCCCCAACCCAACTCCCTTTCCTACACTATAGTACCAAACCTCTTTCATATTTTTTTAAGCAAGGAAATTGGGGTTAAGTGACTTGCCCAGGGTCACACAGCTAGTAAGTGTCAAGTGTCTGGTCTGAGACAGGATTTGAACTCAGGTTCTTCTGACTCCGGGGCTGATGCTCTATCTACTGTACCACCAAGCTGCCCCACCTCTTTCATATTCTTTAAGAGATTCATAATGCCCTGGACCCCTCATTTTAGGTAAAAAAAAAATCCTCCATTCATAAAAAGTATATCAACCAAGCCATCTTATTATGTGTATTGAATTTGTACAAGGAATTAAAGAAGGACCTAAAGGAAAGTGATTGGTCAGTCATTAAAAGAAAGCATCTGAAGTATGTCCCCAAAGTCACTAAACTGTGCATATCTTTTGACCCAGCAATGACACTACTAGGCTTGTACTTCAAGGAGATCAAAGAAAGAGCCTTATTGACCCACATATGCAAAAATATTTCAAGCAGTTATTTTTGTTAGATCAAAGAACTGGAAACTAAGAGGATCTCCAACAATTGGAGAAAGGCTAAACAAATTGTGGCATATGCAATGGAATATTATTGCACCATAAGAAATAACAAAAGGCATGGTTTCAAAGAAGCTTGTGAAAATTTGTGGGAATTGAAGCAAAATGAAATGGGCAGAACTAGGAAAAGACTTTATATTGTAAAGAAAAATATCTTTGAAACACTTCAGAATTTTTATCAGTGCAATAACCAGCCACGATCCAAGAGAACTCGCATGGCTACCGATATCATGCCAGAGAGATGATGGACTCAAGATGCCAAACTGAGACGTAAATTTCTGGACGTGGCTAATGCAGGAATTTGCTTAGTTTGAGAGTGTATACTTGTTACAATGGTTTTGTGAAGGTTTTTTTTTTCCAATTTGGCAGGAAGGTGGGGAAGTGAGGGAAGAGGGTAGCATTTTGGTTTAAAGAAAAAAGAAAAGAAAGAAAAGAGGGACATTAAAGCATTTTTAATGCACAGAAGAGAACAGAAACTTTGAAAATAACCTGTTGAATTTATTATTTGCTTAAAAACAAAACCAATCTGTAAGTAATAAGTATTCATAGTTTCATGTAAAAATCTTCGTTTTCTATTCTACTTTATATATGGGAATGCTTATTTTATTTTGTTGTTAAGTCCAAAATAAGAAAAATCACAAAGAAATAAAAAGAAAATATATAGGCTCTTTTCTCAAACTTCCTTCCCCTTCTGATTTCTTCCTGTCACTTCCCTCTGTCTCTCATTACTGGATGGATTTGTCTCAGAACTACAAGAAAAATCATATCACTTTTCCCAGGTCCATTTTGGGGATATTTTCCAAGCCCCTAATCATTTTTGTGGCTGTCTTTTAGGCTTCTTAACTTTAGCTCCTTCAAGGCAGTTTTCAGTGAGCATTTAGCTGATGGGATATAAGGAGAAGCCCCTTAGCATTAGGGGGCTGCATCTAGATCTTTCCATACCGTCAGACCATCCTGGGAGTTAAAAGTGTCTGTGAGTAACAGGATTCCGAAAGCCTCCGTAACATACTCAGTCACAGTCTTCCTCTTCTTCTCTAGAAACTTTTTCCTGATATAGTCTCTTAATTTGGAGATTTCTGGAATTTACAGAAGACACAATTAGGAATACCACCAGAAGCACCAGCATGGTTTACTGAATAGAAAGCCTATCTTGAAATTAGGAATAATAATAATAGCTAGCATTTGTATAGCACTTTATGGTTTAAAAAGTGCTTTACAAATATCTCATTTTATCCTGTCAATAACTCTGGGAGGTTGGTTGAGGAAACTGAGGCAGACAGAGGTTAAGTGGCTTGCCCTGGGTTATATAGCTAGTGTGTCCAAGGCTGAACTTGAACACAGGTCTTTCTGACTCCAGGTCCAGTGCTCTAGCCACTGAAGCACCCAAAGGAACCCAGCTCCTCTGACTCCAAATTCAACATTCTTTTCATGGAAATTGGAAGGACAGTTTGCCACAGGATGATGAGTCAGGATGGGACTAGGTTTCATCCAGAGCCTACCAGGGGGTGAAACCAACTACACTAACCTTGCAGAAAGCCACATTTTTCCATGCCTAAAGTCTGTAAGAGGACATGAGAGATCAATACATACAAAATATTCATCTTGTGTATTTATCTGCATAGAATAAAGCAGAGGCATCAAACACACATTTGGCTGCAGGACCAGATCAGAATTTAATTGGGAAATGTTTAACAAAATAAATAAAAATACAAAAGAACATAGATAATGCTAATATGTGGTTTTCTAATTAAATATGTGGCTGACAGGGATCCTTAGGTACAGTTTAGTGGCTCCCCATTTCTGTTTCAGTTGAATGGCACTGGAATTAAGTATGGAGTTTAGGGAAAGAATGTCATGTTCAGGATGGAGTAGATCAGCATTTACCAGCCAGGTTAGTCCAAGAGCATACGTAGGCAGAGTGTTTTTGTTGCTCTAGTTATTGTTCTTCCATTCAGTTGTGGCATTATAGAATTGTAGGATATGTAATATTCTGAACTATAGGATCCTAGATGTAGAACTGGAGGGAACTTTAGGAACCACCTAGTCTGACTCCTTTACTTTATAGGTGAAGAAATCGAGTCCAGAGAGTAACTGGCCCGACTTTACACAGGTGCTGAGATCTGAAGCCAGGTCATCTGACTCCAATCTCAAAGTAACCTCTGCTTGTCAATGATGGGGGGTGAGGCACAAATCCCTAGGCAGGAGGATTCTAGTTGAGAGAACCAGCTCAGTCCTAAACCTCCACCAAATCAGAATTCATCAGATAGTATATCCACTCTCATTTCAAAGGTGGGAGCACGGTATAATGGAAAGCACTTTGGCTTTAAAGTCTTAGGACCTGGATTCAGATTTCACCTTTGATACCTACTGCCTCCACGACCTTGGATACATAACAACTTCTCTGGGACTCAGTTTCCTTGTATGTAAAATGAGTGGAATGGACACGATGGCTCCTGAGGTCCCTTTTATATTTAAATCTATTATTCCAAGAAGAAGTAGACGGGACCACTAGGACTCTTGGTACACACGTCCTTAGACCAAACCCACTAGTGAATACCAACCTTACCAGCCTAACCTTTTTCCAAGCTAGGTATTTCAATACACACAGAAAGTAAACAGGTAACTCATTAGTTTACCTATTTATTAAATGTCAGCCTATTTAGGGGACTATGCTAGGTACTGGGGAAGGCAGTTTAAATTAGGTTAAATTTAATTTAATCTACTTAATTTAATCTAAATAGATTAGATTAGATTCAAGTTTAAATTAGATATGGTCTCTACCTTCAAGCAGTTTATAATCTAGTACAGAGGTCAGCAAACCATGGTCCACAGACTAAATTTAGCCTGCTGCCTGTTTTTTATCTAGCCCAGGAGCTAACCACCTAGTTATCTTGGCTCCAAGTTCTGTGTTCTTTCCATTATCTCATGTTGCCCCTATGCTAGGGGCTATGTTAGGACTTTAGTCCCAAGCTATTGTGTGAACACACACAACAGTAATGCTAAAAAGATATTAAAAAGATCACCAATAGATGAAGAAGCTAGAACATGATAGGTTGATATGATATAGGCTTAGAAAGGAAATAAAAAAAATTAAGGGTCAAGCTTAACCTTGGTAGATTAAGCACTGGAGGAAAAAGGAAGTGAAAAAGTTCACCGTTACCTGTCTCTTCTTCATTGAGTAACTCCTGCCGCCAATACTCCTGAGCACTAACTGTGTATACCAGGTCTGAGGCTTCCAGAACCTTGGAGTCAGTAGGCAGTTTTCTCTAAAATGAAAGAGATACACACTGAATACAATGACTCAACTTATAGAAAGCAAGAAGCCAATGGACCTTACCTTACCCTCTAGCAAATCCTAAAAGGTTCACTTTTAGCTCCTTAAGAGTTCCCTGGGAGACAGGGGTGTAACAAGGATGGGGCAGTTACGGTTTTGTCCCAAGGTAGAAATTTAAAGGGTACTAAAACATTATCTTGGGAGCACTTCTTCCCCTACCCAGCTTCAAGCATGGCATGCTTATTTCCCGCAATGGCCATTCTTTTAGAGTATTAAAAACCCTGAGGTATCCCCAGGCTGCACTTCCTCTCCCAAGAAGAAAATTATATTTTGATAGAAAAAACTTGTGTCAAATATTCTTTCTCACGCTATATGCCTAGGTAAGCCTAGCTGACTTGCAGCTTGCTGGCACAGTGGATAGACTGACAAGCCTGGAGTTAGGAAGACTCATCTTTCTAAATCCAAATCTGGCCTCAGACACATACTAGCTGTGTGACCCTGGGCAAGTCACTTAACCCTGTTTGCCTCAGTTCCTGTAAAATGAGCTGGAGAAGGAAATGGCAAACCACTCCAGTATCTTTGCCAAGAAAACCACAAATGGGGTCATGAAGAGTTGGACGTGACTGAAAACAGCTTGGCAGCAACAAGCTGAACTACTAGTCATACAAAGCCATAAAGAGATAATAAATCTCATACTAGACACGTTAGTCTAAAGCTATGTGATAGGCATAAATCTAGAATTTTGTACTGAATTCTTTTGGGTGTGATGCATCTCAATGAACAATTGCTAATCCACGCCATTCTCAATGGGCCACCGTAGCTGCTGTACATGACAGCACACAGTACAAAGTTTTAGATAGGTTTTCAGCATGCACTCTATATTTATTCATGATGCCCCACTTGGCCTTTTAAAGAAATATTTTGCTGCTATAGAGGAATTGTGAGTCAATACGAGGCAATAGTTCACCAAGCCAAGCATCTAGAGCAGACCTGCACCACTTGGCAGTAGGTAGGGGCCAAAATTTAAATAGGTTAAACTTCTTCAGGCAGCAAATAGGTTTTTAGCAGCTCACTTTCCAAGTAAAGGCATAATTAATGATTAAAGTGTTGTACAAATTATATTTTCTTTAAAAGGGAAATTTTAATTAATATCAATTAATTACACTTATTACTCAAAATTTTTATTTATCATGAAATCATGTTAATGTTTAAAAAATTTGCTAAATGGTACAGGTTTTAATACATTTTTCAGGTTTTCTTACTGTTTACATTTAGTAAGGAGGGAAACAGCGAAAAGATATGGAGTCAGACTGACAATGGTTGGTTGCCACGGGTCATGTGACAAACAGGAGAGAGTGTGCAATGGCAATCCACCCCCCCAGGTTACATGACTGGCACAATAGTAACTAGGGGAAGGTGGGTTAAGCGGGATACGGACAAAGCATTAGTTACATCTTTACTTTTTTTTTTTTACATCCTCTACGTTTTTTGTGAAATACTTTGGTGACCTGCGAGTGGCCCACAGGCCATATGTTGTACGGGCCTGGTCTAGAGGCTGAGGTGGGGAGCTAACTCTGTATGTTCCCTTGCTACTAACAAACAGAGCCATCCACAGTTTTTTCAATCATTTCCACATAGTCCCTAGAAAAGCTCTTGCTGCTGCTAGGAATAGCAACAGCCTTTTAAGAGAGGGATTGTTTTGAGAAAAAAAATTAGAGATATCCTCAAAATTTCAGGGGAGGGGGAGGAGATGTTGAAGAAGGATTAATTTACAAAAGAAAAAATATATAGGAAACATGCAAACTCACCTTCAGCTTTTCCTTGAGAGTCTTGTTCTTTTGCAGATTCACAGCTTCATTTCTTTCTAAAATTGCTTCACGCTGACTTTCAATTATCCACTAGATGGTTAAAAGAAATGAAAGTATGCTAATGGTTATTACAAATAACTATAATATTTATTCTATAAAATGACATGTTATTATAGCTTATATTATATATTAATTAATATGCTAATTATGCAACATATTACTTGCATAATAGTATTTATTATTATTAGGGCAGTTGGTAGTGCAGTGGCTAGACTGTCAGGCCTGGAGTCAGGAAGACCTGAGTTCAAATCCAGCTTCAACATTTACCAGCTATGGATCCTGTTTGCCTCAGTTTCCTCATCTGTAAAATGAGCTGGAAAAGGCAATGGCAAACCACTTCAATATCTTTGCCAAGAAAACCTCAAATGGGATCATGAAGAGAGGACATGATCGATACAACTGAACAACAATTTACTATTATTAATGATTATATAATTTGTGCTGTATAATTATAAGCAATTATATTTTGTAATATTATTATCATCATTAGCAGTAGGTCCATGTGGATGGAGCATTGAACCTGGAGTCAGAAGACCTGATTTCAAATCTAGCCTCAGACACTTACTACCTGTGTGACCCTGGGCAGGTCCCTAGGCAAGGCTCTATCAGCCTCAGTTTTTTCATTTGTGAAATGGGTATAATCATATCCACTACCTCATAGGGTTGTTGTGAGGATCAAATGAAATAAAATATGTGAAGAACTCTGAAAAAGTTCTTAAAAAGCTAAATAAATACTAGTTATTGTTATTAAGTATGTTAAATAATAATGGTTGCTATTTACATAGTATTGTTAAGATTATTGCAAAATATTTGACATATATTCATACATAATCTCATTTGAATTTCACAACAGCCCTATATGGTGGTGATAACATATTTTATTATCCCCATAAAGAAAGTGAGGCTAGTAAAGGTTGAACAACTTGCTCCAGGCCATGTAGCAAGTAGGTGTTCGAGGCAGGATTTGAACCCAGGATTTCTGGATTCCTTTTCCAGCTTGCCATCCACTACACTATGCTGCCTCTCCAATAGTCTATTAAAGGCTAATTGAATATTCCCACAACCACAGCTAACAAGGAACTGATAAAGATGGGTTACCAGACAAAATGAACTTTACATCATTTATATTACATGATATTATATTATTACATTGTACATTACATATTTATATATTATATGCTATACTACTTACCTTATATATTAAATATAATTTCCATATAACAGGCCATATAAGCAGAATAATTTCTATTCTGAAGTCATAGAATCTTAAGAATTAGGGAAAGGACCTCAGAGAGAATCTAGTTCAAACTCCAGTCCAGTGCTGGAAGTCCCTCTACAGAACCCCAGAGAGATGGTCATCTTGTTGTCGTTCAGTAGTTTCACTTGTGTCGGACTCTTTGTGACCCCATTCGGGGTTTACTTGGCAATGATACTGGAGTGGTTTGCCATTTCCTTCTCCAGCTCATTTTACAGATGAAGAAACTGAGGCAAACAGGGTGAAGTGACTTGTGCAGGGTCACACAGTAAGTGTCTAAGGTTGGATTTGAACTCAGGTCTTCCTGACTCCAGGCCCACTGCTCTATCCACTGCACCACCTACCTGCCTCAATGGTCATCTAACATCTACTAGAACATTTCCTGTGAAAGGGAGTTCACTGCTTCACAAGGTAGCTGGTACCATTATTGAACAGGTCTAATTTTTATGATAAAGTTCTTTATTATAGTGGGTTGATATTTGTTCCCTTTAATTTCCACTCAGGGGAAGCTAGGTGGCACAGTGGGTAGAGCACCAGTCTTGAAGTCAGGAGGACACGAGTTCATATCTGGCCTCAGACTAAACACTTGACACAAGCTGTGTGACCCTGGGCTAGTCACTTAACCCCAATTGCCTAAAAACAAACAAACAAAAATTTCCACTCATCCTTATTTCCATAATCCAAAACAAAATATATCTATCCCCTTTTCCAAATGACAGCCCTTTAGATATTTGAAGATACTAGTCCTATCTCCCTTTGGTTTTTGGTTAAAATGAATGCTGCAAAAGTACATACAGGGAAATCCTCTTACCCCACCCCTGCCCTAGCTTTTATTAAGTACCTATATACAATATTTTGTGCTAGGTATTATAAAATACCAAGATGAAATTGACCATCCCTATTCTTAAAGAGCTTACAATCTGTGAGAAGACCTATGTAGGAATAGTAAATAAATAACCTAAGAAATCCAGCTGTTTCTATTTGAAGGTATAAGGAGAGATACCATAAAGAGGCCAATGCTAGTTACAACTCTGTGTATGGACTCAATAGTAATGACTCTCTCAGACTGGGTCTTCTGCCTTCCCTATCAACGCTTGACTCAAGCTCTCTGGCACTATGCCCATGCAATGGTGCTGCTACCTAGAAAGACAGAATCTTACTGTTTCTTTTTTTTTTCTCTTTTAGGAGCAGTAATACCTTCTACCCCAAGATAGACAGATAAAGAAACCAAGACCTAAAGAGGAAAAGGAACTCACCCAAGGTCACTCATCCAGGTAGTGGAAGAGTTGGGCTTAGAAGCTATATATAATGTAGATTATTGCTGCTTATCATACTTAGCGATACAACATCTCTTACCTCCATGTTTTTGCCCAGGCTGTATCCCATGCTTGGCATATCGTCCTTCTTCACCTGTACTTCTTGGAATCTCTTTTTAATGTTTAGCTCACATGACAGCTCCTACTCAAATCCCTTTCAGTTCCCCCATTTGCTAGTGCTTCTCCCAACTTCCTCACCCCACTAAGCAATTTTGTATACATTTTGTATTTGCCTACCCAAATAAATAATTTCTTCCCAATAGACTCTAAGTTCTTTGAAAGCAAGAAATATTTTGTTTTGGTCTTTGTATCTATTCCCTGAGCCTAGCACAGTGCCTGGCACAAAGTAGGCATTTAATAAATGATTGTTGAATTGCACTGAATTATATAAAGGGTTTCATTTGAAAGGAAATAATTCATACTCACATTTTCCCCTTTTCTTTCCCTAAAAAAATGAAAAGAAAAAGAAAAAAATCTATTTAGTAACACATTATGGTTTTTAGTGTGTACTAAAGCAATCATTTGGCAGAACTTCTGGATTTGGAATCAGAGAACCTGAGTTCAAATCCCATCTCTGTCACTATCTGTGTGATCTTGGGACATCACTTAAAGTCTCTGGGCCTCAGTTTCCTGATATGTAAAATGAAAGGTCCAGCTCTATATCTGCGATCTTACACAAAGAAGTACAAACTTCTCCAGCAGTAGAGACCTCAGGAGACAAACCACTTCTCTCTTCCCCATTTGGCTCTGGATAAGTCATAAGCCAAGTCCTTTGGATCGTAAGCTCCTTGAGAGCAGGGCTTGTCTTTCTTTTTATTAACTGTATCCTCAGCTCTTAGCATAGTGCCTGGAACATAGTAGGTGCTTAATAAATGCCAATTGGATTGCATTGGGTGTGTCCATTGAAGATCTCTTTCTCCTCAAAATTCCAACCCAGAGTCTTGATGACTAATGAAAATACAAGAGGCTTTGAAAGATGAAAAAAGAAGATGTTGATATAGGAAAAGGCAATTACGAAAAACAGTGGAGTTGGAGGTTAGGAGGGAACATTCTCAAGAAAAATATTATTTCAAATGTGGGATAATTTGGATCCAGTAGGGCAGAAGGATAAAGGGAAAATTTAAGTGGGATGCAGCTATCTCTCAGAAATAACTTCCCCATTCATGGCAATTACATGTCTGGTGTCCATGTTACCTAATTATAGGTTCCTGAAGTTGTAATTGTTTAGTCATTTTCAGTTGTGTCTGAATCTTTATGACCCTATTTGGGGTTTTCTTGGCAAAGATACTGGAGTGGTTTGCCATTGCCTTCTCCAGATCATTTTCAGATGAGGAAACTGAGGCAAACAAAGTTAAATGACTTGCCCAGGATCACACAGCTAGTGTTTTAAAACTGGATTTGAACTCAGGTCTTCCTGACTCCAGGCCCAGAATTCCATCTACTACTCCAACTAGCTGCCCTGAAAAGCTGGATGTAAATATTGTTTGGAAAATAATATTTGTACTGTGCCATATGAAATAGAAAGTATGAAGAATTCAAGAAAACTTAGGAAAGCTTATATGAATTGATGAAAAATGAAATTTTTGAATTGAAGTTTTGAAAGTAATTTATGTGATAATCACAACAATGTAAAGGAAAAGAATTCTGAAAGACTTCTGAATGTGATGGGATATTGCCGCATTACAAGAAAAGATTAAACAATGAATATACAGAAGGATGGGGAGACATCATCCTCATAGCTAGCATTTATATAGCACTTTAAGGTTTGCAAAGGTCTTTACAAATTTTATGTCATTTTGGGTACTGTATTTATTGAGTGGGTAGGGGTGAGGTAGAGGGAAGAAGAGAATTTAGAACTAGAAAAAATAGATAAGTAAATGAATCTATAATCCTATGAAAAAAATTATTCTATGCTCACAACAACCTTGGGAGGTAGGTCCTATTATCCCCATTTCACAGATGAGAAAACTGAGGCAGCAGTGGTTAAGTGGTTTGCCCAGGGTTACACACATAGTTAATATCCAATACATTTGAACTCCTGTCTTCCTAAGTCTAAGAGCAGTGCTCTATACCTCTTACCTGTCAAGTAAAGTAAGCAGAATCAGAAAAAACAATTTGTACACAATGAGTATGACAATGTAAATGGAAAGAATAATTGAAACTGAATGCTGCTAAAATATAATGATTAAACTTGGCCTCAAAGAACAGATAAGAGAAGGTACCTCCCTCCCTTCTTTGCAGAGATGGGGGACTATGGGTTTGGAACATTACATAGAACTATATCTATAATAAAACATGCACCATATATTGCATTGCGGACTTGGGTGACGTGCCATTTAGTTTTGTTTAACATTCCTTTTGGTTTTTTATTCTTTGTTACAAAGGATGGCCCTCTGGAGGGAGCATGGGAAAAATTATATTGGGAAAGGTAGGTGATATTAAAAAAAAAACTATTAACTTTTTTTAAAAGAGTGAGTATTCAAGTGAGAACCATACCTGGCAACTGAAAGCCAAAACTGCCAAGTCTCGCAACAGAGACCTTTCTTTTTGTCCAGTGGAGAGTTGAGGGGAGGATTCCATGAGGAAAGAAAAGACATCAAGACCCTGTGATCCTGGAGACATGAGCTACATTGGCCACAAGTATGCCTCACCACCATTGTAATCTGTTTGTGCCCACAGATACTGTGTGTATTTGTTCAAGAGAGTGCCCTATGTTTACGGGGGGGAAAGTTTTGAACACTATGTAGTTTTTTTGTTTTTGTTTTTGTTTTACTACACCATCTTGGTAAATGCCTTTGCTATGAGTTAATTGAATTTGCTGGCTGATTGTGTATTACCTATGGTTACCCCTAGAATTTCAAGTAGTTGCCCCACTGAGAACCCAACCTGCAAATCTTTAAGCACCAAATTGGAGAAGCAACATGGAGTACTACACGAAGGATGTTAGAGTTTGGAGGGGGTCTCAGAGATCGCCTAGTCCAGCCCTCCCCATTTTGCAGATGAGGAAACTGAGATCCAGTAGGCTTTAAATGACTTACCCAAAGTTACAAAGTAAGTTAGGAATAAAGCAGCAACTAGAACCAGATCTTTTGAGCTCTTTACCTACTGTATTTTACATGCTTTAGCAATTTTCAATTTCTCTCAAGGATTTACAGGTGGAAGGGACCTTGGAGATCACTAGTGTAACTCCCTCCCCTTCGTTTTATAGTTGAGAAAAATAAAGCCCGCAGAAGTTGTCACTTACCCAGTCACACAGTCAGAAAATAGCAGAGACAACATTCAAATTCAGATCCTCTGACTCCAAACCCAGGGCTCTTTCCATTGCACCCCAATGAGTCTCCAAGAAGTGTAAGGGAATAGTAAAAAGGGAAACTCAAGATTGATCATACCTTAAGTAATCTGGCAGATAGAGTTTATCACACTTTGTGACCACCAGGGCAATATCTTGGCAGACTCCCCTCTGACAAGCTTTGATACTTTCACAGAGAAGCTCTTCATGGATTTTCCCCCCAGAAATCTTCTCAATGTCACTGATCAGCCAGATCACAGAACACTTATCAATGGTCTAGAAAGCACCAACAATACGTACACTTGAATAACAAATGTTAAACAAAGAGTTAGTTCTAGGAGGCTAGAAAACTGAGTATGAGACCCAGACCTACCACCAGGGGGATGATGGAGCCAGCTCAGACCTGCTGGAGAGCCAATGGGGAAATTTTCATTGTGAATGTATGTGCACACCTGGGAAATCTCAAAGGCTACAAATCAGGGCTTGGTTTATTATTTTGTTGACTATCTCGATTTAAGAAAGTGATAGAGAAAATGTTAACAATGCAGATGAAATTTTAAAATGTGTCATGCCAAGCAGACAGATTTCAGAAAAACTTGGAAAGGCTTACATGAACAATGCAAAGTGAGGTAAGCAGAACAAGAGAACATTGTATACAGTATCAGAAACATTGTTCAACGTTCAACTGTGAACTACTTAGCCCCTTTCAACAATACAATGATCCAAGACAATTTCAAAGGAATCATAATGGAAAATGCTATCCAACCTCCAGAGAAAGAACTGATGGAGTCTGAATGCAAATTGAAGCATACTATTTTTCTTTCTTTATTTTTTTTCGTGATTCTTTTCTTTTGGCCTGTTTCTTCTTTCACAACATGACTAATATGGAAACATGTTTTAAATGATTGCACATACATAACCTATATCAAATTACTAACCATTTTAGGGAGGAGGTGGAGAGAGAGGAAGGGAGACACATTAGAACTCAAATTTTGTTTTAAATGAATGTTAAAAATTGTCTTAATATGTAATATTTAAAAATAAAATACTATTAGAAAAGAAAAAATGTGTCATGCATACTTTTTCCAGTTTTTGTTTTTTTGGAGAGCCATTGTTAAGTAATGATCAGCACACTCCTGGTCCTTTTATATTTCTGCATTTGTGTGTGTGTGTGTGTGTGTGTGTGTGTGTGTGTGTGTGTGTCCTTGTGAATCTTTTGCATCATATGTGAGACAATGTAAAGACTGTCCTATTCTCCTTAAGTATTTATTGCCTTAAGTGCTTATAGAGGAGGTGATGACCCTGCTAACTACTCTTGTGGAAACCTAGACACAAGTTAGACATATGCCACAATTGAAAATTTTCCTGAAAAAATTCTGGGTGGAAGCCTAAAGAAGCAAAGAGAGTGACATTGCTATGGTGTGACATCAGAATTGGGGCACCCTTCGTATTTGTGGGAGAGGGAGGTAGGAAGGATTACAGAATCATAGAATTTGAGAGTTGGACAGGACCTCAGGAGCCCACTAGACCAAACAATACACGAGAGAGGATTAAGAAATTATTTAGGTGGGAAAGCAATAAGTGGTCCGAATAACGTATATTATCGGACCGGTCTTCCCAAATAAAATAAGTAAATGTCTACCTAAAGACCAGGAAAGGGGGGCCCAGAGAAGAGTGACTTTCCTAAGACCACCCTGCCAGATAATCAATGAAGAATTTAGAAACAATAGAACAAGGGGTCCTAAAGAGTTGTTTAAGGGACTTGCCCAAGGTCACATGGGTAGTTTTATATTAAGGGGCAACTAGCAGAAATTAGTTGCAATAATGCCAGAACCCAGCAGGAGATGATGAGGGAGAAATAATTGAGGCAGGAAGGGAGGGTCTCATGTGTCAGTCTCAGATCACACTGTTCAGAGGAAAAACATTTTTTACCTCAGCATATAGATGATATCCCCAAACCACAAGTATGTTAGGGAGCAGCAGTCCAAATGCAGTGTGGTCAGAACTAGGGAGGTAGCTCAGATTGTCCCTGGTGGGACTTTTTTTTCCCCCATCTGGATCGGTTTATTTTTCTGTTATTAGTGGCCTCTGAAAAACTACCCAACTGAGTAAGGTAAATGCTCCATCTGGCTGTAAGGCCAAGCATAAATAACCACAAGACTGGCACAAATCAGGTGTCCCCACCCCCACCCCCCCGCACCTCTCTGCCCTCCCTGGAATTCTCTCTCTCCCACCTTCTGGGTCTTGGCATCCCTAGGCTCCTTCTGGGCTCAGCTCAAGGGCCATCTGAGTCCTAACACTCCAAGCTGTTAGTGACTTCAGGGGAATCACTTCAGTTATCTTCCTGCCCCATTTTCCTCATCTGTGGAATGAGGGGTTTGGATTAAATGACCTTTAACCACCACCACCACCTTCCAAATTACATTGTATATAATTTGCATTTATTTATTATGTACTTGATTCCACCCAGAGGCAACCAAGGTTGTGTAGTGGATAGAGTGATGGGCCTGGAGTCAGGAAAGCCAGTGTTCAAATCCATCCTCAGACACTAATTAGCTGTGTGACTCTGGCTAAGTTACCTCACCTCTATCTGCCTCAGTTTTCTCAACTATAAAACAGAGATAATAGCACTTACCTCCCAGGGTTGTTGGGGACATCAATGAGATAATATTTGTAAAGCACTTAGCATGGTGCCTGGCACATAGTAGTAGCTTAATAAATGGTTGTTCCTTTCTCTACCTCTCCCCTCACCATCCCCGAGTAGAATGTAGACTCCTTGAGATTAGAGACTTTTTCTTTGTATCCCCAAACAGCACCTAGCAGAGTGCCTAGACCATGGCAGGCATTTAATCAATTCTTCTGAGACTGAATTGAACTGAACGTGTAACCACTGTCATTCAGGGCCTGGACTTGAGCATGTAGAGATGCCATTTGGGCCTAGCTCCCTGAGCTCCGTCTCTGCTCCTAATGCAATAGAAATAGTATTGGCTCTGGAGACAGGGGCCTATGGTTCAAATCCCTCCTCTACTACTTAAATACCTGAGTGACCACAGGCAAGTCATGTAACATGATTCTCAGGGCCTCAGTTTCCTTATCTGTAAAACAAAGATCCTAAGAGAGAGTCTGGCTTGAAGAGAGGTCAAAGTTCCCTACTCCAAACCAAAGCCAGTTGGTGCTGAATATAAATAAAGGCTCCACAGCCCCACAAATTGCCTAAATCCTAGAATTCTTCTCCAAGAAACAAGTACTCTGGGACAATGGTTTTCACCTTCCTTCAAATTACAATAGCTCACATATTTTATAGGGCTTTTCTCACTACCACTTTAAAGGGTGGCAAGAATACATAGTATTATCTCTGTTCTACGAATGAGGAAACTGAGATCCAGAGAGGTGAAATAACTTTCTAGAAAGAGCCAGAGCCAGGATTCAAACCCACATCTTCTGATTTCAAGGCTAGTATTCTTCCAACTTGCCATTTGTTAAGTCATCAAATCAAGAGATGTTCATTAAACACCTACTATGTGCCAGGTGCCATGCTAAGCAATGGGGACACAAAGAAAGGTAGAAGACAGTCCCTGCTCTCAAGAGGCTCACATTCTAATGGGGGAGAAAACACAAACAACTATGGACAAACAAGCTATAGGCAGGATAAATTAGAGAGAATCAACAGAGGGAAGGCACTAAAATTAAGAGGTATTGGGAAAGGCTTCCTCTAGAAGGTGGGATTTTAGCTGGGCCTTGAAGAAACCCAGGGAAGCTACGATGTGGAGACAAAGAGGATGTACCTTCCAGGCATGGGGGACAGTCAGGGAAAACGGACAGTCGGGAGACAGAATGTCATGTTTGAAGAACAGAAGGCTGGCCAACATCACTGTTGCTCTAGAGTCATAGAATCTGAGAGCTAGAAGGGGCATTCAGCATCCAACGGTTCATCCTCCTTGTTTGAGAGAGAAGAAAACTGCGGAGCAGAGAAGCTAACTGACCTTGGGCAAGTCACTTAAGGTCTCCAACCCTTCAGTTTCCTCATCTGTAAAAATGGGCATGATTACATTGCACTACCTCCTTCCTAGGGCTGTTGTTGACTAAATGAGACACTATATGTATGTTGCTTGGTAAGCCATAAAGTCTTATGGAGATACTGAAGTTGAGAGACATTATGAAGAGTCAGTCTCAGACGCAGAAAGGCCTTGCTTAAAGACTCCAAGTTACAAAGTAGGTGCTCATCTGCACTGGTGGAGCGAGCTTACTCTCTTTACAACAATGAAATCACAGGTCCAGTCTCTATCCACAAATCTTACACACAGATATATATGTGTGTGTGTATGTATATATGTGTATGTGTATATGTATATATGTACATATATGTATGTGGATGTATGCATATACTTTTATGCATATACTGAGAGGTATATATACCTACAGGTATATATTTGAGTGTATATTTTATATATATATATATATATATATATATATATATATATATATATATATATATATATATATATATATATATATATATATATATGTGGGTGTGGCTGTGTAGCTGATATATGTTATACATGTGTGATGTTTTATATGAATATATAATTATACATATAAACATATATCACATTTCAGATATATACATCAATATATGTCACAGATAAACATGATGCATGTATAAATATATCACACATATCAGTTATACATACACCTATATATCACATATAAAGGTGATATATATATAGCCAATATGTATAACATATATATATATATACATATATATATATATATATATATATATATATATATACCCATACAGATCACATGTAACTGGGAGAATACATATACATATACATATACGTATACATATACATATACATATACATATACATATACATATACATATACATGTAATCACATATAAATTTGAGAATATATATCAGATGTTCAGGAATGTTGTGGTTGTTTTTCAGTCATATCCAATTCTTTGTGACCTCATTTGGAGTTTTCTCATCTTTCAGAACATTTTTTTAAGGCAACTGGGGTTAAATGACTTGCCCAGGGTCGCACAGCTAGTAAGTGTCAAGTGTTTGATCTGAGGTCAAATTTGAACTCAGGTCCTACCATCTTCAGGGCTGGTGCTTTATCTACTGCATCACCTAGTTGCCCCTTGGAGTTTTCTTATCAAAGATACTGGAGTGGTTTGCCATTTCTTTCTCCAACAGAAGGCAGCTAGGTGGCACAGTAGATTGTGCCAGGCTTGGATTCAGGAATACCTGAGTTCAGATGTGGACTTAGACACTTATTAGCTGTGTGACCCTGGGCAAGTCACTTAACCCTGTTTGCTTCAGTTTCCTCATCTATAAGCTGAGCTGGAGAAGGAAATAGCAAACCACTTAGTTTCTTTGCTAAGAAAATCCCAAATGGGGTCATGAAAATTCAGACATATCTGAAAAAAAAACTTAATAGTATCAGATATACACATCCATACATATCACATATAAAGATGATATATATATCTCACATATATATCGTCTATAATACTCTTCTATGTCACATATAAATGTGATATAAATATATCACATATATATATCAGATATACATACCCACACCCAAATATATTTGTATGTAGATATAAACATATGTGTATGAGATTTAGGGATAAGAACTGTGCCTATGGTTTCATTGGCATAGGGAGCTCCCTCTACTAGTGTCAGCTGGCATTTCTCTGCTACTGATGCTGCCATAGTGCTTCTAGATACCTGCGAGTCTAAGTAACTTCCCCATGACCAGGCAGCTGATATGTGTCATAGGCAAGACTTGAACCTGGGTCTTATTGACTGCAAGGGCAGCTCTCTATCCACCTCAGCATAAAGAGCTGGCTAGGAAGTCAGGAAAACCAGAGCTCAAGTTTCACCTCTAATACCACCGGGTTCTGAAACCCCTGGGCAGGGCACATAACTTCTCTGTGCCCCAGGCACTTCTCTGAGATTAGATTGCTAATCTGGACTGGTAGAGGGAGTTTCCTATGCCTATAAAACATGACAGAAATACATAAATGTTAGGTTACCATAAGAAAGGCAGCATGGTATAGTAGAATTAACACTGGACTTAGAATCAGAGCTGGGTTCGAGTTCCAGCTCTGACACTTATTAAATGACTGCGTGAGTTTAAGTCAATCAGAATCTCTCTGGGCATCAGTTTCTTCATCTGTAAAATGGGCGCACTAATAATATACTACCTACTTTACAGGGTTGTCTTGAGGATAGCACAGTGCTTGGCACATGTTGTTTAGTCATTCTGTTGTGTCTTGACTCCTTGTGACCTCATATGGGTTGGTTTTTTTAGGGAGAGGAGAGGCAATCAGATTTGGGTGACTTGCCCAGGGTCACTCATCTATTAAGTGTCTGAGGCTTGAACTCAGTTCCTCCTGATTCCAAGTGGTATTCTATCCACTGCATCACCTAACTGTCCCCATATGGGATTTTCTTGGCAAAGATACTAGAGTGGTTTACCATTTCTTTCTCTAGTAGATTAAGGCAAACAGGGTTAAGTGACTTGCCCAGGACCACACAACTAGTAAGTATCCGAGGCCAGATTTGAACTCAAGTCTTCCTAACTGTAGGCCCAGAACTCTATCCACTGAGCCATCTAGGTGCCTCTTGCTTGGCACATAGTAGGTGCTTAATAAATTCTTGTTGACTAACTGTTGACAGAGGACAAAATAAGATAATGCATTAAAGGCTTTGTAACGGTTATTATGATGGTATTACCTGAGCTCACACAGCTAATTAGTGGCATATACAGGATTAAGACAGTCCAGGCCAAGGGTATGTCGGAGCCAACTCTAACAGATTATTGTTAAATTTTCAATGTGAGCATTTACATCTTGAAAATCAGCTATATATTGTCATAGGGCTTGACTCGTTTTCTTGATTGTCTAAACTAAGGAAAGATTAGTTTGTTTGTTTTGTTTTGTTTTATTTTGCCAGACAACCCCTTGCTGTAATATCTACCATCTTCCTAGGGTTCAGCTGCCTTCTTGTCTACTCTGTTGCTAACTCCTAAACTCTTCTCCTTCTACTAGCTGAGCTCACCCCACTGGCTTTGGGCCACTCCAATTCTGGCTCTTGACATGTGTCCCTACGACTCCCAATTCTTTACCTATATCAACACTAGGCTTAGTACTCAGAGGCCAGAATAAGAATATCATTTCATGAGCTCATTAAAATTCCATCATCAAAAAGCCAAGCACCCTTTAAGGTTTGAGGGAAGAGACATGATTGAAGAGATTGAAAGAGTTGAAAAATAAGGAGAAATTACCCTTTTCCACATTTCATCTCTTTTGCTATTAAAGTCGCCTGTTCCAGGTATGTCTACGAGCACCACACCTTCCGGAAGCACCCCTGACCTGGGCAGAGTCACTTCTACATATTTGATCAAGGGCCAGATTTGGGTCCTAACTGGCCCCCCATCTGTATTCCTCATTTGAGTCCGGATGTAAGGGTCCAGTTTTACAGAGAGCTCATTTGCCTGAAAAACAAAGAAAGAAGTATAGCAACTATATATACCCATATTCCCTCAGCCCATCTTTTCCTGGAATTGATGGTTACCCATCAATGTCAAAAGAATATTATACATAAATCATATGAGGTAGGCATGAGAAATCTCCCACCAGTCTAGCTATACAACTGTGACCATGTCATTTAATTTTTTATCATTCATTTTATTTTATTTTCCAAGTAAAAAGCAATTATTTTCTCTCCTTCCCACTCCACACCCAATTCAAAAGGAAAAAAGAAAAACAAAACTATTGCAACAACATATGCATAGGCAAACAAAATGAATTTCTACACTGTCCATGTCCAAAAATGTGTGCCTCATTCTGCATCTTGAGTCTATCACCTCCCTGTCAGGAGGTGGGTAACATAATTCATCATCATGGTTCATTGAGTTCATCAGTTATTAAAGCTATTTCTCTTTACAATGTTGATATTATATAAATTGTCCTCCTGGTTCTGCTCCCTTCACTCTGTATCAGTTCATACAAGTCTTCCCAAGTTTCTCTCAACCCATTTCTTTCATAATTTCTTATAGCACAGTAATATTTCACTATATTCCATACCCTAATTTGTTCATCCAGGGGATGAGCATCCCCTTAGTTGCCACTTCTTTGCCACCATAAAAAGAGCTCAAATCATTTAACCTAACCTAGAGAGCCAATCCTCTCTCTGTGCCTTAGTATAGCCTCACTACAAAGTAAGAGAGAGGGTCAGTCTAAATGACCTCTGACAGAATTCTAATCAAAGAAGCCTTAAGAGAGTTCTAGAGCCAGGTGAAAAACACTCTGTCACTGTTTCTGGATAAAAGTGGTACCACTGAGAGCTTTCACACAGTGAGAAAGAGGGAAAATTATTGCCAGCAGATAATTAGGCTTGCCACATTTGGAGGCCTGGAAGCAGTTTGGGTTGTTTCCAGAAAGCAGAATCTGGACTAAGTAATTCTCTGGGGTTCAGAAAAGGAAGGGCTGCATTCAGTGGTGCACTGGTAAATGTTTAACATCCAGTTATTGGGGAGTGGGGTAGGGAGAGAAGTATGCATAACACACTTGCAATTTAAAGTACATTATAAAACATTTTTTCCATCACTTTCTTAAGTCTTAACAATCAACAATACAATAAATCAAACCCTGATTTGTAGTTAGCTGATTTCTGAAGTGTAAATGCTCACACTGAAAATTTAACAATGGGCTCTGAGAACCTGTAAGAGCTGGCTTAGCACATCCCTGGCTATATTGTTTGGGTCCCTGAGAAGTCTTAGATGGGAATGTCTTTGTGTCGTTTCTCTGATGTTCTGTCCAGCAGGAAAGAGACTGGGGAAACCGTTTATAATTGTGTTTCTCACTCCCTAGGTGTCTAGTGTCTGAGGTTATTTGTAGGGGAAATAGCTTAGTTTGTGATTACAAAGCAACTTTGAGCCAGGTTAGGCTACTGCCTTGGTAAAGTAATTGCCTGAGACTCTACCCAATTACAACAGGGTAGGTTTGTAGGTCTGTGTTGTTGTTCATTTTTAGTTATGTCTGACTCTTTGTGACCCCATTTGGGGTTTTCTTGGCAAAGATACTGGAGTGGTTTGCCATTTCCTTCTCCAGCTCATTTGACAGATGAGGAAACTGAGGCAGACAGGGTTAAGTGACTTGCCAAGGTGACACAGCTAGTAAGTATTCTGAGGCCAGATTTGAACTCGGGAAGTTGAGTCTTCCTGACACCACACATGGCACTCTATCCACTGTGCCACCTAGCTTCCTTCTGCTGTATTAGAATCCTAAAGTCCCTTCTAGTTTTACAATTTAGTGATTCCATGATCATGGGATCATGGGATCCAGCTCAGGCTGGAAGGTACCTCAGGGACCATCTGCTTATTTTGAGGCTGAAACTCAGAGAAGTTAAGTGATTTGCCTAAGGTCACAAGAGTACAAGATATTACCAGAGGTATTTGAACCCAGTTCTCTTTAGAGCATTGTTTAACTGATTTAGATTTCATAATAAGGCTCTTCTTTTCCCCTATGGATAATATGAAAATTCCAGTGACCAGGAAGACATTGATGACTGGAATTTGGGTATATTTCTTAGTCAATCGATTAGCATTTATTAAGCACCTACTATGTATCAGGCCCTGAGCTAAGCACTGGAGATACAAAGAAATGTGAAAGACAATCCCTTCCTTTGAGGAGCTCACAGTCTACTGCAGGAGACAACATGCAAACAACCATGTACAAACAAGCTACTTACAGGATTAATAGAAAATGATTAACAGAAGAAAGGCACTGGGATTAAGAGGCAATGGGAAAGGCTTCCTGTGGAAGGTGGGATTTTAGCTGGGACTTGAAGGAAGCCAGGGGAGCTAGGATGCAGAGATGAGGAGGGAAACAGCACCAGGCATGGGGAGCAGCCAGAGAAAATGTCCAAAGCTGAGAGCCGGAGTGTCTTGTAGAACAGACAGGAGCCCAGTGTCACTGCATTGAAGAGGGCATATTGGGAAGTCAGATGGACACACCTGGAGTGGAGAGATGGAGTGTATTGTTCAAGAAACACCAAGGATGTGGGACAACTAGGTGGTGCAGTGGATAGAGCACTGGCCCTGCAGTCAGGAAGACCTGAGTTCAAATCTGGCCTCAGACACTTGACGTGTACTAGCTATGTGACCCTGGACAAGTCACTTAACCCCACTGCCTCACCAAAAACAACAAAAAAAACCCACCAAGGATGCTAGAGTCAGAAAATGGAAGAGTGCAGGGTGTGTAAGGTACAAGAAGCCTGGAAAGGTGGGGAGAGGAGGCTTTGAACACTAAATAAAGGATTTCCTATTTGATCCTTGAGGTGATAGGGAGCCACTGGAGTTTACTGAATGGGGGAGGAGGGATAACAGTCAGACTTGTATTTTAGGAGGTTCTCTTGGCCTCAGTTTGAGGATGCAAAGTCTTGCCTATGTCACATTTGTTGATCATAGGAAAATTCTTCCTTATATCAAATCTCAATTTGCTTTTCAATTTCCATACATTGCTCCTAGTTCTTCCTTCCAGGACAAGCTTAATCCTTTGTCTGCGTGGCAATCCTTCACATACTTGTAAGAAGGTACCTTGTCCTCCCTAAGCCTTCTGTTTTCCAAGTTAAACACCCCCAGTTCAGTCATTCATTCAACAAGCATTTATTAAACATCTTCTGTGTATCAAGTGGTATGGTAAGTGCCAAGGAGTCAAAGACAAAAACAAAACAAATAGTCCCTGCCCACAAGGAGGGAGTGATTCTATCAGGAGGAAGCATCATATACACAGGCACACAGACACAGACACAGACACAGACACACACAGGGTAATTTTCAGGAAGAAAGCACTAGCAGTTGGAGGAATCTGGACAGACCTTAGACAGTTGGTGGCACTTCAACTGAGCCTTAACGGAAACTAACCATTCGTATGAGGCATTAGATTGTAAGCTCCTCGAGGGCAGGGACTGTCTTTTGCCTCTTTTTTGCCTCCTTGGTGCTTATCACAGTACCTGGCACATAGAAGGTGCTTACTATATGTTTATTGATTGATTGATGAAGTAAAAGTAAGAAGGGAGAATATCTCACCCACTGTGAGTCACTCTGTGCAAACATGCAAAGACATGAGGAGATAAAATGTCACTTACAGGAAACACAGAGTCCATCATGGGCAGTATTGCATAATAAGCCTGGAAAGGGAGGCTGGAGCCAGATTGTGAATGGCTTTAAATGCCCAAACTGAGCAGTTTTTATTTGGCCTATAGGCATTAGGGAGCCATTGGAGGTCGCAGAACAGGGGAAGTGGCATAGAACTGTGCTTTAGTTCTATCTATTTAGCATCTGTAGGGGGCAGCTAGGTGGCAAAGTGGATAGAGCACTGGCCCTGCAGTCAGGAGGACCTGAGTTCAAATCCAGTCTCAGACCAAACACTTGACACTTACTAGCTGTGTGACCCTAGGCAAGTCACTTAACCCCAATTGGCGTCTGTGTGAGTGGGGAGAATGAGATTGATGCTGGCGATTCTATGGAGCTAGAAATGACCACTTCCTTGAACAGATCCTCGCATGCCCGAGTTTGAGGCCCATTTTTACCATCCTGATTGCCCTCTTCAGAATGCCCTCTAGTTTGTCAATATACTTCCTATAATGTGGTGCCCAGAATTGAACGCAGTCCTGTAGATGTGATCTGACTAGGGCAGACTAAGTACAAAGGGAGCTATGTACACCATTAGTGTAGCTTGAAGCAGAATTAGCAGCTGGGTGGTGCAGGGGATAGAGCACCAGCCCTGGAGTCAGGAAGACCTGAGTTCAAATCCAGTCTCAGACAGTTACTTAGCTGTGTGACCCTGGGAAAATCACTTAGCCCTTGTTTACCAGTTTCCTCATCTATAAAATGGGGAGAATAATAGCACCTACCTCTCAGAGTTGCTGTGAGGATCAAATGAGATAATAATGATCATGCCTGGCATATAGTAAGTCATACAAATGTTAGCTATTATTAATATTTTATGGGCTACCACATCACTCTGATTCACACTGAGTTTGTGGTCTACTAAAACTCCTAGATCTTTTTTCAGATGAGCGTCCTGGTCACATCTCCCCCATCTTGTACTTATGAAGCTAATTTTGGGAGGTTGTTGAATGAATAAGAATCATCTACAGGCAGATCAGTTTTGAACCATTGTAATGATAATTATTCATATTTACTTGGAACTCCAAAGTTTAAAAAGTGCTTTCCTTGGGGCAGCTAGGTGGTGCAATGGCTAGAATACTGGCTCTGGACTCAGGAGATTCTGAGTTCAAATCCAGCCTCAGACACTTACTAGATGTGTGAGCCTGGGCAAGTCACTTAACCCTGATTGTCTTCACCATCCCCCTCCCAAAAAAAAGTGCTTTTGTCACAACATCCCTGTGTGACAGTACAAGTATTTATTGTATTTTACTGATGAGTAAAAGTGAATGGCTGGTGAGCATTGGAGCTTGAAAGGGTAGGAGCTCAGGTAGACTGAATCCAAGACCAGTGTTTTTTTCTGCCATCTCAAGCTGCCTTCCATAAAGATACAGATCTGTTCCCACCTAGATCCAGGGGCTCTTGAACCAAAGAAGACCTCCAGAGCTTTCCTTGAAGTGGCCAAACTCCAGGACAGCCTGGGAACCATGGCAGCCTCCCACAAACACCCCCTTCAGGGATGGCAATTCAGGGCTACCCCAAACTACAGCTGGACCTGGCCTCCAACCAAAGGTACCTGCCCCATCTGGTGAGGGAGCAAGAAAGTCATTTGTCCAGTTGGCCAAAAAGCATTTGATGCAGCATCTACTGCATCTAGCTAAAGCCCTTCCTTTTACTATCATATGCATTCAGTAGAGAGTCACAGTGGATAAGGAACTGAACCTGGTGTCAGGAAGACCCACAATCTAATCTCATGCCTCTTACCTATGTGACCAGCTAAATCACTTAATCTCTCTAATTCTCAGCTTCCTCATCTTAAAAAGAGAGATTTGGATGAGAGAGTCTCTAAGATTCCACCCCAACTCTAAATATAATGATCCTATGATCTTATGACCTCTCTGAGTCTCAGTTTCTCCACCTGTAAAATGGAGATAATTAGACTAGATGGCTTCTGAGATTCCTTCTAAATCCAAAGTTCTGTGTTTTTTTGAGTCAGTGACATTCACATCAAACACAGCACAGCCTATACTTCCTTAGACCATGAGATGTGGAACTACTTCACAGGGCTGTTGTGAGGATCAAATGTGGAAATATTTGCAAAGTGCTTTGCAAATCTTAAAACATTATATAAATACTAACTTTTATTATTATCTATAATAATAGCACCTACATACAATCAGTATACACGTAGTGCTTTGCAAACTTTAAAGTGTTATAAAAATATAAATGATTATTGAATTATTATTATTAAGGATTCATAGTAATATGATAAAGATTCATAGTCATGGTCATATTTAAGCTTTATGGCTTATAGAGCCCTTTCCTCCCAACAACTCTGTAAAGCAGGTAGTATAAGTGTTATTATATCTATTGTACAGATGAGGAAACTGAGTTTCAGAGAGGTTAAATGATTTTCCCAGGGGTCACACAGCTAGTGTCAAAATTAGATTTTTAACTTAAATCTTCAGGATTTCAAAAATGGCATACTTTTCACTTTATTATACAGGACAGACCCAAAAAATCTGCCTAAATGAGCTAAGTTCAATTTTAAAGAAAAGTCAGCCACTTAGAGACAAAAACCACACCACATGACAGAGTGGCATACTTATGATATATAAGAAGATAACGGAATGCAGAAGTTACCTCTCCTCCCTTGAGGGTGATGATTCGGGAGGCAGGGATCTTTGCTCGGGGCTTTGCCCTCAATAACTCCTCACAACTCTTGCGTTCTGCTCCATTTCCATAGAGCACTTGCAATTTCCACGTGGCTTCCTCCACTGCATTGTCTCTGTCCCAAGACTCCTCTTCCCCATCCTCCTCCTCTTCTGGCCTTTGCAAGAGTGTGGTGAGGTTCCGCAGCTCCTCCTTCCACTCCTGCCAATGCAGACCAGGGGCACAGACCTCAGGAGACAATCTCGGATCAGTAGGACAATTTGCTCTGTCACCTCCCTGCCTTTGTCCCTACAATCTTGTTTCCTTTCTGGGGAACCTTCTAGGTCTCATGGTCTAAGGAAGTATAGGCTGTGCTGTGTTTGATGTGAATGTCACTGACTCAAAAAAACACAGAACTTTGGATTTAGAAGGAATCTCAGAAGCCATCTAGTCTAATCCATACCTAAACAGGAATCCCTTCTTCAATATATTCACCAAGCTATCATACAGACTCTTCTTGAAAACTTCCAGTGAAGGAGGACTGATCACATCTTGAGGCAACTGGTTCTCACTATTAGAAAGCTCTGTTAGAACTCAATATGAATTTCAAAAAGATCTGATTGCAAGAGGCAAGATGGTGGAGTAGTAGGGAGAAGTACAACTGAATTCCCCATATAACACCTCCAAACAGGTCTAAAAAATGCGTCAGAGTCCTGATTGAGGAATCTAAGGCGAGGAAGGAGGAGGTCATTTTTCTAGCCCAGGTCAGTATAGGGAGATACATCTGTGGACCCTGGGAACAGGAACTGCTACAGAACATTCTATCATAGGGGAAGAACTAGCATAAGAAGAGGTTCCAAATCCAGCAGGGTGCAGGAATATGTGCCACTGGCAGCTTTCTTGTTTACTACCCAAGTCAGGGTCACAGATACAAGGATAACTAAGGAAGGGAACTGCACCTAGGGTTGTTCTCTAGGATGAGGAGTGATTGAGGGGTACTTAGGCTGTGTACTAAGCAGGGAGAAAATTGAGAAGCAAGTAGCAACTGTATAGTTCTGACCCCAGAGTAGAGCAGGGTCTCAGTTCCTTTCTCCATCCCAGGCTAAAATCATCACTATAGTAATAAGGACAGGAATCCCAGACCAAAGGGAAGCCTACAGTTGTGTCATGCTGAGCCAGCAGTTTTCCAATGGGCTGACAGTAGCTGAATCCAGTCTATGGAACCAGTCTACTGGAACTCCAATCAGGGCAAGGCCATAGGTGTTTTTCTCAGATCCAAACCCAGCTCAGGAATTTGCAAGGCTCAGTCCAGAGGTCCAATGATCAGACTTTGTCCTGAATCAGACCGTGTTGGGATCTCTGAAAACTTGAAGGTCCCCAGCCTAAGCTATCCCTAAGATCCTAGAGCAATACAACACTCAACTCCCAAAGAAGAAAATAGCTCAGACCTTCTCTTCAGAAGTGTGCAGAGCCTGGCCCTAACATCAAGTCCAAAGTCAGAATGTAGTCTGGGAAAATGAGCAAACAAACAAAAAGAACCCCACCATAAAAAGCTATTTTAGCGACAGGGATGTCCAAGACATATGAGGGGAATTGCTTGTTTTTCTACCCCACTTTCTGACTTTGGACTATGAAGGAGCAGAGAGTTTAGAATATATTCCAGAAGGCAAAGAACATAGGCTTACAACCAAGAATCACTTACTCAGCAAAACTGAGTATAACCCTACAGGGGAAAAAGGACAAACAACTTTTAAAGACAGGAACTCTGGTCAACTGAATGACCAATCAGGAGACTCATTGTGAAACATGCTCCCCACCTCCTGATAGAGATATAATAGACTCAGAGTGCAGTCTACCACCTGTTTTTTGGACATGGCCAATGCAGGAATTTGTTTTGCTTCTCTATGGATAATTATAAGAAGACTTTTGTTTCTTATTTCTTTCCCAATTTGGGGATGGAGGAAGGAGAGAAGGTGGGGTTTTTTTGATTGAAAAATAATAAAAGCTGATTTAAAAAAAAGATCTGGCAGTTTTATTGGACTGCAAGAACAATGTGAGTTAACAATACAACTTTTTTTTTTCAATCAGACCTATGACTTCACCAGTACAGGGAGCTTCAAATGAAGAAACTCCTTCTACCCAAGCAGATTGCTCTATGACTTAGCATTTTGGAGGCTTTCTTTGTAAGAATGTAAAAGTTGTCTACCATTGGTCCTCATGATCTCTAATTTCCTCAGGAAGTGAAATGACTTTCCCAGAGCCATATGGTGAGTTTGTGTCAAAAAAAGGACTTGAATCTAGGTCTTCCTGACTGCAGGGCCAGCTCTCTATCCAATAAGTTATTCTGCCTTTCACAATAGCATGATATGGCAGCCAAAAAAGCTAATAAGGGAACTAAAAATAAAACAAAATGGAAATTTTTAAAAAGCTAATATGACCTTAGGGTGACATTAATAAAAACAGCAATTCCAAGAATAAGGAAGTGATAGTTCCTCCATATTCTGCCCTGGCCCAACCACATCTAGAGTACTGTGTTCTATTTGGAGAGCCACATTCTAGAAAGCACATTGATAATCTGGAGAATGTCTAGGGGAGAGAAATCAGAATTGTGAGTGCCTTGAGTCCATGTCTTACGAAGATCAATTTTAAAAATGGGGTATTTAGCCTGAAGGGACTATTATAACTGACTTAAAGCATTTGAAGTGCATATAGACAATGGATTAAACTTATTCTATTTGGCCCCAGAGAGCACAATGGCTGGAATTTGCAGAGGCAAATTCGTGCTTGATATGAGGAAAAACTTCTTAACAATGAAATCTATCCCCAAAAAGAATGGACTGTCTTGGGAAAACCTTTAGCATTGGTCTTGAAGCAAAGACTAAATGATCATTCATTGGGTGTGTTGCAGTAGGGGTCCTTTTTCAGTTATGGATTGGACTTTTTGGCTACTGAGATCCCTTCCAACTCTGAGATTCTTGTGTGGTTCTATGTGCGATCTTGATCTATTCCATAAAGCCTCAGTTTCCTCACCTATAAAATTGAGAAACTCAGACTCCATGACTTCTAAGTTCCCTTCCAGTTCTAAAGGCAGGATTCTTTGATTGGCCTGTACCATTATTCCCATAATAATAGCTCTCATTCGAAAAGGCACAAACTCTCTTTATAATAATTTAAAAGCCAGCTACCACTTGTTCTTATGGTCTCCTCATTTCCCCAGGGATGTAGGAGCATCAGTATGAATAGTGGGTGCTCAGAAGGGGAGAGGAGCACTTACTTGCTCAGAAAGAAGATGGATTTTGGCCTCGTAGTGTTCACAGCTGCTGGAGCTCACTTGAACTATGCAGGATGTGCAGACACTCTCTCCTGACACGGGCAGAAACATTGCTTGGTGGATGATGGCATTAAGCAGGGAACTCTTGCCTGCTCCAGCTGCTCCAAAGAGTCCAATGTAGATGGGATCCAGGGATGGCTTTTCAATCAGAGCAAGAAGTCGGTTTCTATAAGAATAAAACAGAAATGGATATTTCAAAATGTTATTGATTTCTTTTTTTATATCACAAAATATATCACCTTTGGAAGGGAAGGAAGAATAGAGAAAGAAGGGAAGAAAGAAGAGAAAGAGAGAGAGAGAGAAAAGAGAAGGGGAAAGTGGGGGTTTTTTTTCTAGTACATCAGTATATTCAATATATACAATATATGCCATATTTTCCCATCTCTACAAGGAAGGCAAAGAAGTACAATTTCTCATATATTTGCTCTGCAGCAAAACTTGGTTATTATAATTACCTAGTATTCAGATAATTTCTTTTCTTTTCTTTCCTTTTTTTGGTTCTATTTATATTATTGTAGTTATTATAAAGCTACTGAAGACGTGGAAAAGAAAGTTCTCACCACCAAAGTCCTTGACACTGTCAAATGACCTAATATCAGAGATAGATATGGTTTTATTAGTGGCAATGCCATTAAAGAAGGATCATTTATCATGCACCATAAGGATCATGGGGTCTTTTTAGTTGACTTGCAGCTGAAGCCTTCTATGCCTCCCCCATTAGAATGTGAGCTTCTGAAAAGCAGAGCTTGTCTTGCTTTTCTATATGTATCTCCAGTGCTTTGCACATAGTAAAAGCATAATAAATACTTTTTTCACTCATTCATTGCACATGTATACTCCCAGTACTGCTTATTAAACTATGTATCAGTTCACATAATTCTTTCCATGTCTCTGAATTCTTCATATAAATAATTTCTTGCCATATATTATTACTCTATTGCATTCACGTGCCACGGTTTGTCTAGCCATTCTCAAATTGATGAATATTTACTTTGATTCCAATTTTTTACTACTATAAAAAAAATGCTGTTATTAATATTTTGTTATACATAGAACTTTTATTTTTATTTTTAGACCTTCTTGTGATATATCCCTAGTGGTAGGATTTCTGGATCAAAGGGCATGAACATTTTGGTCAATTTCTTTGCCTGATTAGAACTCACTTTTTTTTTCATCTGAAAGTGCTGCCCCTTAAAGAAGAATTGGACTGAATCAGTGTACCTCCAAAGGGTAGAACTTCTATAACAGGGGTTCTTAACAATTCAGAGAGTCCATGAACTAAGACAGGAAAAAAAATCACATCTTTATTTTCAATATAGTTGGTTTCTTTTAAAATCCTAGGTATTTTGTTTTATGAGGCAATCAGGGTTAAATGACTCACCCAGGGTCACACAGCTAGTAAGTATCATATGTCTGAGGTCAAAATTGAACTCAGGTCCTCCTGACTCCAGGGCCAGTGCTCTATCCACTGCACCACCTAGCTGCCCCCTGTTATGTGAATTTAAAAACATCATTCTGAGAAAGCATTCCTAGGCTTTACCAGAATGCCAAAGAGGTACATAACAAAAGTGAGGTTAAACATCCCTGATCTAGACCTAAGAGTTGGAAGTTGCAGGGAGGAAGACTTTGACTCAATATAAAGAAGAAATTTCTAACAATCAGAATTTTCAAGGATAGAACAGGCAGCTAGGTGGCTCACTGGATAGCGTGCTAGACCTGGAGTCAGGAAGGTCTGAGTTCAAATACTATCTCAGACACTCACCAGCTGTGTGACCCTAAGCAACTCCCTTTCCTCTACCTGACTCAACTGTAATAATAACACCTACTTCTCAGGGTTGTTGTGAGGATAAAATAAGATAATATTTATAAAGCACTTTGCAGACCTTAAAGTGATATATAAATAAGAGCTATCATTATTGTGAGGGAGGGTGTTCCCCATTACTAGAACTTCTCATGTCAATATCCAGTCAGGGAGCTGTAGAAATAACTCCAGCATTGGGTTGAACTTGGTCCCTGATGGCCCTTTCCAACTATAAGTTTATATGCATCTGTGACTTATTGCTTTGTCTTATCTACACAAAAATAAAATGGTAGTAACACAATAACATGGTTTCTAGAGTAGAAGAAGTAGCAGCAGATGCCCCACCTCAAGACCAACATCTGGGTAGAAACTCCTTCCTGAATACCTCCCTCTTCCCTCAGTGTCTGTTTTAAAGTTCCTTCCTCTCTTACATTTCCCCTCTCCCAACTCTGTGTAAGATACAATCGATTTTAAACACGCATACTCACATGAGATACTTGACCCCACCAGAGATACCATCATCCAGGAAAGCAGATTGGATAAGTTTCTGGTAAGTGTTACTCAGAACCCTCCTGGTTCTTAACTCCAGCTTTTCATCTAGAATAAGTAGACAATATGCTTACTACCTGGCATATATGGTTGAGGACCAAACCCTGCCTCCCTAGGAGTGAAGGTTGAGAGGGAAGGTGGGGGTAGGGAATGAGCTTTCCTGAATATTATTGTAACTCTAGATTAAGTAGTCTCTCTCACAAAGACCAAATATTGTTACTTTATAATTAAAGGGGAAATAGAATTTTAAGAAAGGTGACAGCTTGTCATTCTTTGGGGAGTCTGTGAAAAGACTGTAAGAATTAACTGTCAGCTTGTGAGCGTTGGAGGCATCTTTGAGAGAATATGGAGGAACATCCTAAGGAAAAAATATGCTGTGGAAAAGAAGTCCTGAGAAGAATTCTTGAGAGATTCTGACTATCATCCTTAGAGAGTTGCATTATTGTAGACAATGTTTCCTATGCTGAGGAAAACTCAGCAGTTGAAGTCAGCTGGTTGGAGGTGACTCCAGATGTACTCTTTTTCACAATTGATACGTTATTGAATTATTTAAATGTGTCTTTGTGGGGTTTTTGTTACACTGCTAATAAATTATGTAACCAGTAGTATCCCTGTTTATCTAATCCTATAAGACTGAGATTGGATACTGAAAGAGGAGACAGAGGTTATGGGAGCTCCAAGCTAATTAGCTAATTAATTAAAGATATTACAGTTTTAGTAATTTATGAGAAAATATCAAGAGAATAAAAAAAATAACAAAGGAGCAGGCTGAGGGGTAGAGGTTGATGTGAGGGATTACTTCTACATGTACTTTCTATCTGTGTGAGGCTCAGTTATAAACCTGTCATAACATTAAAATAAATAAATAAATGTTTTGAATACATATACATAAATAAAAATAAAATAAATGCAAACCAACAGCTCAGCAAAACCATCTGGCACATGGAAACACAACAGGAATTTTCTCAAAGAGGTTGCATGCTAGGAAAAATACAAAGGCGATGTGGTACTGTGAAAAATGTGCTCAATTTAGATCCAGAGGACTTGGGTTCAAATGTTGGCTCTGCTACTACCTGCATGACCTTGGGCAATTTTTTCATCTGTACAATGAGGGAAATCAGACTAGCTAACCTTAGTCCTTAGTCTATGAATAGTTTCCTTAAGCTAGTGATACCTACTATAGAAAGGTTTCCATCCAAAAAGACAAAAGGATGATTTTTAAAAGCTTGGGCACCCATTAGCAAAGTTGCAGGTTATAAAATAAACCCACATAAATCACTGGCATTTCTATATGCTATCAACAAAGTCCAATAGCAAGAGATAGAAAAAGAAATTCCATTTAAAGTTACTGTAGACATTATAAAATATTTAGGAGTCTACCTGCCAAAACAAACCCAGGAACTCTATGAACACAATTACAAATCACTTTTGACACAAATAAAATCAGATCTAAATAATCGGAAAAACATCAGTTGCTCATGAGTAGGCCAAGCTAATATAATAAAAATGACAATTCTACCTAAGCTGATTTATTTATTCAGTGCCATATCAAACTACCAAAAAATTATTTTATAGAACTAGAAAAAATAATAACAAGATTCATTTGGAAGAACAAAAGGTCCAGAATATCAAGGGAACTAATGAAAAGAAATGCTAGGGAGGGTGGCCTAGCCGTTCCAGATCTTAAACTGCATTATGAAGCAGCAATCATCAAAACTACTTGGTACTGGCTAAGAAATAGAGTGATGGATCAGTGGAATAGGTTAGGTATGCAAGACATAGTAGTCAATGACTATAGTAATCTACTGTTTGATAAACCCAAAGTAATAGTACTTCTAGGGCTGTATCCCAAAGAAATTATACAAATGGGATAAGAACTCACTATTTGACAAAAACTGCTGGGAAAACTGGAAAAGAGCATGGCAGAAACTAGTCATAGACCAAAATCTTACACCATATAACAAAATAGTCATAATGCGTACATGATTTAAATACAAAGGGTGATACTATAAGCAAACTGGGAGAACAAGAGATAGTTTACCTGTCAGATTTATGGAGAACAGAAGAATTTATGACCAAATAAGACATAGGAAACATTATGAAATGCAAAATGGATAATTTTGATTACATTAAATTGAAAAGTTTTTACACAAACAAAGCCAGTGCAACCAAGATTAGGAGGGAAGCAGAAAACTGGGAAAGAATTTTTACAACCAGTATCTCTGATAAGGGCCTCATTTCTAAAATATATAGAGAACTAAGTCAAATTTATAAGAAAACAAGTCATTCCCCAATTGAGAAATGGCCAAAGGATATAAACAGGCAGTTTTAAGAGGAAGAAATTAAAGCTATCTACAGTCATATGAAAAAATGCTCTAAATCACTACTGATTAGAGAAATGCAAATCAAGACAACTCTGAGGTACCACATCACACCTATCAAATTGGCTAACATGACAAAACAGGACAATGGTAAATGTTGGAGAAGGTATGGGAAAATTGGAACACTAATGCATTGTTGGTGGAGTTGTGAAATGATCCAACCATTTTGGAGAGCAATCTGGAACTATGCCCAAAGGGCTATAAAAATGTGCACACTCTTTGACCCAGTAATAGTACTTCTAGGGCTGTATCCCAAAGAAATTATACAAATGGGAGAAGGACTCACATGCACAAAAATATTTATAGCAGCTCTTTCTGTGGTGGCAAAGAATTGGAAATTGAGGGGATGCCCATCAATTGGGGAATGGCTGAGCAAGTTGTGGTATATGAATGTAATAGAATACTATTGTGCTATAAGAAATGATGAGCAAGTGGACTTCAGAAAAACCTGGAAAGATGTGTATGGATTGATGCTGAGTGAAATGAGCAGAACCAGGAGAACATTGTGCACAGTAGCAGCCATATAAGCATTGACTCACTTTGATAGACTTAGCTCTTCTCAGCAATGCAAGGATCTAAGATATCTCTAAAAGTCTCATGATGGAAAATGCTATCCACATCCAGAGAAAGAACTATGGAGTTTGAATGCACATTGAAGCATACTATTTGTTCTTTTTTTTTCTTCTGTTTTGTTTTGTTTCTTCTTTCTTGTGGTTCCTCCTATTGGTTCTAATTCTTCTTTACAACATGACTAATGTGAAAATATGTTTAATAGAATGTATATGTAGAGTCTATATCAGATTGCACACCATCTTGTGGAGGGAGGGGGAGAAAATTTAAAATTCAAAAGCTTATGAAAGTGATTGTTGAAAACTAAAATTAAATTAATAAAAAAAAAGAAAGGAGTCAAACAAAAAAAAGTTTGAGCACTCAAAAAGGTAAATCCTTAACAATCCAGAGTGATTCATTCTCTAAGAGTATTGTAATCAGAAGAAAAACAACTTTTTGCTAGATCTCTATTTACAAAAAGTAGTCCCGAACACAGTAGTTTCCCAACATTGGCAACTTTCATTTACAATCAGTATCCATTATTAATTCACTATTGATTAATTAATTTGTATTTATTAGGCAAACCTTATAAGAGTTGGTTAATTGCTCCTACTTAGAGCTATTCAGATGGCTAGCATCAGACAAATATGTAGACTATATAGGTGTTCACAGTTTAGATCAAGTGGCTAAGCCTTTCATATATGTAACTGGCTAAGTATCTGGGCACTTAACAGCTGATCTAGTCAAATACACTTTTTAAAATAAAAAATATAATTCTATTAAATAATAAAAATTGGAATAATAATAACAGTAGCTAGTGTTTCTATAGTGCTTTATGGTTTGTAAAGCACTTCATAATTATTATCTCATTTTATCCTCACAACACTCCTGGGAGTTAGGTGCTATTTTTATCCCATTTTATAGATAAGAGAAACTGGGGCAAATAAAGGTTAAATGATTTGCCCAAGGTCAATCAATGAATAAACATTTATTAAGCACCTACTAGCTCCAGGCACGTGCTAAGAATTGGGAATACAAAAAGAGGCAAAAGACTGTCTGCTTCGAGGAGTTTACCTCCTAATGAAGGAGACAAATATATACAAAATAGGCAAGCAAATATTTACAAAGCAAAAACATCCAAAATAAATAGGAAATAATGAACAAAGCTTCTGTCCAGAGCACTGGAATTAAGAGGGATTGGGGAAGGCTTCCTGTAGCAGATAGGATTTTACCTTGAATTTAAAGGAAGCCAGGGACACACAGTGAGGCTGTGTCTGAGGTTGGATTTAAACTCAAATCTTCCCAACTCCAGGTCCAGCTCTCCATCCACTGTACCACCTTAACTACTCACAAATTAGTAAAATTTGCATTAAAAGAAATGTAAGATTATAAACAAATTGTAAAGAAATACAAACCTCTAAGGACAAGTTGACGACCTTATCTTCCTAGACTTTAGCTGTTACTAATCCCTTTTAATCTACTCTTAGATTAACTTCCCAGGCTAAAACAGACTTCACTCTCTCCTCCTTTCCTTAGGGTGGCACTGTTTAGGTGTTTGGCACAGTTCTGCCTACAAAGCTGCTGAAGGCAGCTTGACTCAAGCCTTAACTCTTTTTTTGCGACTGATTTGGAAGTGTTAATCATCCCGAAACTCTCAGGGAAAAAATATGCTGAGAAGAGTGTTAAAAGATTATACAGCGGTTTTCTCATACTCACACTCCTTAAGAGCACTTTGTTCTGCTGGTGGAAACACTCCGCACTTCTGATCTAATCTTCTCCTCTTTCTTGGTGATCCTTTGAGTAGAGCTTTATCAAATAGAGGTAGACAAGAGTTACAAGGTATTCCAGGACATTAGATTTCTGAGGCTCTTTTGACATCAGCCTTTATGCATTCAGGACCTCGTGGCCTGGGAAAACCCTGGCCATACATTCCTGTACTCTCTATGTTGGGACACCATTGGTACATTCTAGTTAGGAACCCCTCTAGCCTGGCTTCTCCAGAGAGACCCCTCTCCCCCCACCCCCCCAGCCACTCTCTTCAGAGATTACACCACAAATTAGATTCTAATGTTCACTCTACTACTTGATACCTGTGGGATCTTAAGCAAATCACATCTCCTCTCTGGGCCTTCAGTTTCCTCACATATTATAAAATGAGAGGTTGGACTAGATGACCTTTAAGGTCCCTTTCAATTCTACACTTAAAATTCTGTGATATCTTTCAAGTAGCTTGGAGTTTCACTCTTACCCTAGGTTTCTAAGGAACCCATCTCCCAGTAGAGGTCCAGGACAGACCAATGGGTAGGATGGGACAGTAGAGGCTAATCTACATACTACAGTCCTTTAGGGAGCCTAAGTCTAAGGAGGTTTTTCAAATTTGTGGAGGAATCTGTAGGTTTAAGGAAAGTCCTTCATTCATTCAACAAGCATTTGTTAAAAAAACTTCTATGTGCCAACCATTACTATAGTCCAGGTTCCTGCCCTCGAGGAGCTTACCTTCTATAGCAGAGGCTCTGAATTTTATTTGGCCTATCGCCCCCTTTAAAAAAAAATTACTCAGCACCTCCCTGGAAATCTACTTTCTTTAACCCTTAATGCTTTTCAAAAACATATAATTTTTTAAATGATGCATCTTAAATTTAATAATTTATTGTAAATTTGTGGGTTTTTCCTGCATTGAAATTTTGATGACACAATGTTGCATCAGATGACTGTATAGCATTGTATTGTAAACAAATCATTACCACACATATTCCTGCCAATACATGCTGGACTTCCCAACAATACACGGCATGCTGACTTGCCAACACTTGCTTGTTAAGACCTGTGGCAGACTTAACCACTGATAGGTTACAACTTGCATTTTGTGTGTTTATTTGGAAAATGATGTAATCACTATGACTTTAACTCTGTTACACAACAGATGAAACATGTACAAATGCTTTTTCGAAATTCTCTTCTCTTCTTTCCTTATGCTTCCACCACCCCCTTATTTTTATTCAGTGACTCCCAATTGCACTTGAGGCTATTAACAACCCCCTGGGTTGGTCCAGTGCCCCCCAGGGACCAGTATTGCCCACTTTGGGAACCTATGTAGGGATGGGGGTGATGTGCACACAGAAAAAAATCAACATAAAATAAATACAAAATAAATGTAATTTTCTGTGCACAACCACAGTCATGAAAAGAGACTTCATGTAGGAGGTAGCTTCTTGGCTCAGTCTAGAAGGAAACTAGAAATTCTTTTTTTAATTTTTTTTATTTTTAGGCAATTGGGGTTAAGTGACTTGCCCAGGGGCACACAGCTAGTAAGTGTCACCACTTAGCTGCCCCGGGAAATTAGATATTCTAAGAGGTAGAGATGAGCAAAGAGTGCATCCCAAGCATGAGGGCACAGTCTGTGCAAGAGATGGAATGCCATGTCCAAGAACATCAGACAAGCCAGTTTGGTCAGATGGGGAGTAGTGTGTAATCATCCTGAAAGATATGCTGGAACCAGATTGGTAAGAGTTTTAAAAGCTAAACTGAGGAATTTGTATTTGATCTCCTAAGAGCAATAAGGAACCACTGGAATTTCTTGAGCAGGGGAATGATATGACTAGAACTGTGCTTTAAGACCACCATTTTAGCTAGGGTAGAATACCTAGGAATTGGTCAAGAGTCAAGGTTCTCCAAAGTAATTCAGAGTAGTTTAAGAAGTGCCAGGGGGTTCCCATGACTACTCTGAGTAGAACTAGCAAAAAAGTACAGAGCCTAGAGTCCAACCAAAAATCCACCCAAATTGTTTTAAGACATGCCATTAGAATATCTTAGCCACTTTAGCACCATGAGGTGTCAAGGCTGGAAATTTCATCATCCCTAATCTCAATTCTATTGCATAAGCCAGTAACAAATCTGAAGAGTTTGGGTACTTACTTCTCAACTAATATGAAATTAAAGGAAGTAGCAAGGGAGTATGTAGTAAAGTGACTAGCATGCTGGACTTGAAATCAGGAAGACCTGAATTCACCTCATCCCTCAGACACTTAATAGTTGTCTGACCTTCGGCAATTTAGTTAACTTCCCTGGGCTTCAGTTTACCCGTTTATAAAAATGGGAACTTAATTTATAAAAATAGTACTTAATTCACAGGGTTGTTACAAAGGTCAAATGAAATAATGTATTAAAGTACTACATAAACGTTAGCTATTATTGACTCAACTCTTTAAAATATCCACCTGTAAAAAGGGATATTTTAAGCCATTTTGGCTAATAACCCAAATAAACATTGATTGTGGATGAAATCCATTACAACCACTTCAATATGATGGTATAGTAAGAGTTGTTCCCTGCTCAGTACTTTAGATATATTACCATCCCCCAAATTGGTCCAGCCCTAAGAAAGGACAGAAGGGAAACCAACAACACATGACACCTAAATGTGGCTCCTGGCTGACAAAGTCTTCGGCCTCTGCCATTTGATGCAGCTGGTACTCTTGCCTCTGTCTATAAATTCGACCTTGCCTGGCCAGGTATACACAGGGTCTAAAAACAAACAAACAAACAAAAACAATACGAACCATCAAGAGAAAAAAGGATTATTAAATGTCTGCTTCTGTTTTGTCTCTCCATTTAGATTGGGAGCTCCTTGAAGGGATGCTGTTTTATTCACCTTTGTATAATTGACACTGGCCTCCTTACTGTTCCTCACAAAATACACTCCACATCCCAACTCTAAGTATTTTTACTGGCTGTCCTTTACTCCTGGAATGCTCTCTCTCCTCATCTCCAATTCCTGAATTCCCTGGCTTCCTTCAAGTCTCAGCTAAAATCCCACCTTCTGCAAGAAGCCTCTTCTGTTCCCCTTTAAAGTTAGTCCCTTCCCTCTGTTGGTGATCTCCAATTTGTCTTGTCTATAGTTTGTTTACACAGTGGTTTGGGTGTTATCTCCCCCAATAGACTGTGAGTTCCTTGAGGGCAGGGATTGTCTTTTGCCTTTTTTTCATTCCCAGTGCTTATCACAGTACCTGGTAAGTAGTAAATATTTAGTAAATGTTTGTCAAGTTGCTGACTTGACTTGCATACCTAATAATACCTAACACAGTGCCAAACACATAAGCGCCCCCCCCAAAAAAAGGACTTGATCTTTTTATTTATTTAAATTCTATCTCCTCTGATAGAATATAAATTCCTTGAGGATAGGGACTATTTTATCTTTGTCTTTGCATCTTCAGAAACTAATAAAGTTCTTGGTACACGTAGGCTCATAATAAACACTTGCCAGATAGACAGATTGATTGAGGATGGGGCTTGAATATGACAAAAAAAACAAGCTGCCAATCTGATTGACTAGTGACTTTCAGCTGTGAAAATCTTCGTAGAACAAGAATGAGAGACAACAGATGGATGACCAGAAGGCTACTTTGGAACCCTAGTCTAGGCATTAGAGGTACAAAGGGAACCCTCTAGCACACTAGGTGGATAGACTTTTTAATAATAATAATGATAACGATAACTGGCATTTATATATTTGATGTTTACAAAGGATTTTACACATATTATTTTATCTGACCATCACAATCACCCTACAAAGTAAGTATTACATGTGTTCGCAGAATCACAGAACCTAGAATTGGAAAAGACCTCAGTGACCATTTGGCTCAGTCCCTAATAAAAAATAATCCCCACTACAACATACCTGACAAGTGATCATCCAACCTCATGAGATTATCTCTATTTTAGAAATGAAGAAACTAAGGCTCAAAGAAGTTGTCTGTCACCCAAGGTCACATAGGATTCAAACTCCTGACTCCAAAACTAGCGCCAATTCTACCACAGCATCCCACCACTTCTCTACAAAGAGTTTATAGAAAGATATGAACAAGAATAATACAGGACGAAAAGGGCCTGTGATATACATAGGAAATAGTTACCAGTTACATTATAAGTCCATCTCAATGTAGTTATTTGGGTTTGAATTATAAAGGTTCTTGAGTCCACATAAAGATTGGGTTGGTTTTTATGTATGCATATTTTCTTGTTTTAATCAGCCAAGATCCGCTTTCTCACCCTCCCATTCCAACACCTCCCCTTCCAACTGAGAACATGGGAAAAACAAAACCCATTATAAACATGTAGAGTCAATAGAAACAAATTTCCACATTGGCTACGTCTAAAAAATTTTTTTGCCTTGTTCTGCATTGAGTCCTTCACTTCCCTATCAGGAGCGGGTAGTATGTTTCATCATTAATCCTCTGGAATCTTAGTTGGTCATGACGTGTACTAGAATTCAGCACAACAACATTACATCACATTTATATGTCATAACTTTTCCAGTCATTTCCCAATTTATGGGTACTCTCTCAGATTCTCATCCTTTGCCACCATAAAAAGAGCTATAAACATTTTTTGTACATCATTATAGTTTGTTTTGCTTAAGATTCCTTGAGCCCCCTACCTTAATCTACCCTTTCATCCTTCCTATCCTCTTCTCCCCTTTATGTCCTAATCTCCTGTTGAGTAAAATGAATTTTTTACCCAACTGTATATATGTGTGGGTATTCTTCCTTCTTTTGATCAGTTTAGATGAGAGTGAGGTTTGAGTGTCAGCTGTTCCCCCCACCCCCTCCTGTTTGTATAAATATCTACTTGTGCACTCCAATTATATAACATAATTTTCTCTATCCTTCCTTTCCCTTCGCCCCTACTGTATTCCTCTTTCCCTCACTTTCTTTTCCATCTTTCTTAATATCATCAAGATATAACAAAATCACTCCCAGTTCCATTAGACTTCCTCTACGAATCTTGATGATGACACAGTGTAGAGGAGATATCATCTCCCAATATTTGGATGTCTTTAGTTTTTTATTATTGTTTATTCCTATTTACCTTTTAATCTTCCTCTTCGTTCTTGTGTTGGAACTTCAAAATTTCTCTGCAGACATGGTCTTTTCATCAGGAATGTTTAGAAGTTCTCTATTTCATCAAAAATCTATTTTTCCTCCCATAGGGGTTTACTCCCTTTTGCTAGGTAAGTTATTCTTGGCTATTAACCAATATCCTTTGCCTTCTAGAATATGGTATTCCATGTTCTCCACTCCTTTAGAGTGTAAATTGTATGTGATTCTGAGTGTGGTTCCTTGGTACTTGAACTCTTCATTTCTGGCTGCTTGCACTGTTTTTTCCTTTGACCTGGAAGCTTTGGCTTTTGGCTATGATGTTCCTAGGAGTTTTCATTCTGGGGTTTCTTTCAGGAGGTGACTGGTGGATTTTTTCTATTTCTACTTTGCTCTCTGATTCTAAGAGATCTGTGAATTTTGCTTTTATGATTTCTTGAAAGAGGATGTCCAGAGTCTTTTTTTTTTTTTGGTCATGGTATTCAGGTAGTCCAGTGATTCTTAAATGTTCTCTCCTCAATCTGTCTGCCAGATCAGTTATTTTTGCTATGAGATACTTTACATTTTCTTCCATTTTTTTAGCCTTTTGACTTTATTTTTGTACTTTTTTGTTGCCTCATGAAATCATTGTGTTCTGTTTGGTACATTTGAATTTTCAGGAAGTTTTTATTTGCACTAGAGATATCTATTTTGCCTCCCTTCAAGTTGCACAATGATATCCCCATGCTATACGTGAAGAAAGCCTCACTATACTTAAAAATTTATTTATATATGTATATATATATATATTTTTATATACTACACTATATATTTATATATAGCACATATACTACATACTATATACATATACTATGTACTATACTACATACTATACTACATATATGTAAAACTATATATAAAAATATAAAAAATTTTAAAACCTTTTTTTTAAACTCTTGTTTCATCTCTTATAGAAATTCTGGTTGAGTTTGTGCCCAAGCTATGTTTTTCTCTTGTAGATATCTCTTGCTTATGGATGTTCTGGAGTCATTTTCTTCTTCTGCCTTTGTGTCTCCATGTCCCTGCTACCATAATAGCTCATTATGACATTGTTCTTTTATTCTTTGCCTGTTCTTCTGCCTGACTTTGGACTTGATGTTAGGGCTGGGTTCTGCCATGCTTCTGGAGGGAAGGGACTGGTTCTGTTGCTGCTTTCTTGGGGTATTCAATGTCACATTATTCTAGGATCTTAGGGAGAGGCTAGGAACTTGAAAGCTTTCAGTGATCCCAAAAGGGTCTGATCTAGGCTCTAGATCCAAAATCCAAACTTCACAGAACAAATCCCTTTAATTAAAGGATTTGTTCTGTAAAACTTGGACTCAGTTAAAAGGCCACACCCAAGGACCTAGAAGACCACATGTGGCCTCAGGGCGGCAGGTTCCCCACCCCTGGCTAGGGTAAAGTCTGATTATCACCTCCTTGGTCTGAGCTCTACAAGTTTCTGACCTGGGTTCAGGTCTGTACTAGTGTACAGTTCTGCTAGACTCCACACCTAACAGCTGGCAAGAAAGTTCTATTGGTTCAAAGTAGAAGAACTGTAGGTTCCCTTTGGTCTGGGTTTCCTGTTCTGGTTATTTCTCTACAGGCTGGGCTAGATGCTAGAAGTGAGACCCTGCTCTGAGCTTTGGTTCTGAGCCACACCACTACTAATGCTGGCTTCTGAACTTCCTCCGTTCTCGGTATAGCACCCAGGGCCTCTCTGGGAAGGCCAACACCACTGCTGGGCTGGGCTGGGCTGTGTGTAGGTCTCCTTCTCACTTTGCTTTGAATCTGCCACCCAGAATTGAGTAATGGGCAACAAAGCTGCCAGTTGACACTTGTCCCCATTGAAGATCTCCAGTATGGATCTGGGACCTCCTTTTGTGCTGGTGCACAACCTCTCCCTGGGCACTAAATTGCTCCACATGGCATGTGCTCCTGTCCTGACTTTGTTCCCAGTGTCTGCAGCCTTCTCTGTCTGTCTCCGTATGCCAACCTGGGCCAGACAAAGAACTCACTGACGTTTTCCGGATTCCTCCATCAGGATTCAGCCTAGTGCATTTTATGAATTTGTTTGGAGTTGTGGATAGGAGCTCACTTGTGTTGTTTCCCTCTATTCCAATGCCTTCTAAATATCTAAGCAATGGTTTAAGAACCTAGAGGAGTTTAGCCTAGAGAAGACTGGGAGATGTGATAGTTGTCTTCAAGTATTTGGAAGGCTGTCATGGAGGAAAGATTAGACTTGTTTTGTTTGGCCCCAGAGGGTAGAACACAGGTTTTTGTTGTGGTTCAGTAGTTTTCAGTCGTATCTGACTCTGCATGACCCCAAAGATACTGGAGTGGTTTGCCATTTCCTTCTTCAGCTCATTTTACAAATGAAGAAATTGAGGCAAACAGAGTTAAATGACTTGCCCAGGGTAACACAACTAGTAAGTTTCTGAGGCTAGAGTTTAACTCAGAGAGATAAGTCTTCCTGACTCCAGGTCTGGCATTCTATCCACTGTACCACCTAGCTGCCCTAGAACACAGGTAAAAATTACCAAAAAAGCAATGCAATGAATCAATATCAAATTTATTTCTTGATGTTACAAAAAACTTACTAACAATTTGAGCCATTCAAAAGTAAAATGGGATGAGTGGTGTAGTAGGAAGAGCATTAGACTTGGCATCAACAAACCATGTGTTCAAATCTCACCTCAGATACCTACTAGACCCTGCATAAATCACTTACTCTGACTCAGTTTTCTCATTTGTAAAATGAAGGCATTGAAATGGCCTCTAAGCTGCTTTCCAGGTCTAAATCTGTGATCCTAAAATTTAGCTTTAAAAGGTGGTGGGTTCTTCTTCCTTGAAGATCTTTCAGCAAAGGCTAGATGACTAATTCTCAGTTATGTTATAGTGGGGATTCCCTTCTTGTATATTGGATTAGATGGGTTGGATTAGATCTGAGGTCCCTTCCAACATTCAGATTCTGTCATTCTGTGATTATGCTTTGTGTCACATGCCCCTTATTAGACCATAAGGTCTATGAGAGCAGGGATCATACCTTAAATGAAACTTATGTATCCCCCAATGCTTAGAAAAGCGTTCTCTGTATACTAACCAACTAATAAATGTTTGAGAAATTTTAAAAAGACAATGGGCATGGTGGAGAGGCTACAACTGGTGAGTTCAGGAGTTCTGAGCTACAGTAAAACTAAAGCCAATCAGGTATCTGGATTAGGCAGCTAACTGACCCAGGTCAGAAACAGGGCAGGTCAAAACTTCCATACTGATCAACAATGTGGTTGAGAAGGAAGGAAGAGAGGAAGGGAGGGAGAGAGAGGGAAGGAGGGAAAGAGAAGGAAGGAAGGAAAGAAGGAAGGAAGGAAGGAAGGAAGGAAGGAAGGAAGGAAGGAAGGAAGGAAGGAAGGAAGGAAGGAAGGAAGGAAGGAAGGAATTTTTCTTAAAAGAACCCAGAAATTCCTCTGAGTTCTAGATCCAGCCTGACCTAGGCCAAGCCCTATACCTTGAGCAGCACCAAGGTGTGGAGAAGTAAGTGGCTTCTTCATTTAGGGCACTCCTTTCCTCCTTGAATTTCAACACTAAATTATAAAAAGTAGCAATAGGAGAGATGGGAACATGTAGAGCTCCCTTTTCTTGAACACTCAAAGGGGAGCCATGGAGAATAAGCCCAGATATTAAAAGTGATTTCTTATTCAGGTCCAGCCCTTCTGTTTCCAGTATAGTATCTCAGAAGCAAGAAGCCACTGACTCTTCTGAAATATGTAGACTTTCACCTGACCTAGCCACCCTTTGCTAGCAACAGACCATGACGCCTCATTTGAACAATGGAGCAATTTTTTTTTTAAATCACAGTTCAGTTTCACACTTTTTGCCCATGACTTCTCTAGGGATTTCACCCTGTGGTTTTTAATTGGATAGACAAAACTATTTTCTTAATTTAACACTTCCAACTCTCAAATTCCTGTGATTCCTAATTTTATCACCTGTTTAAAAAAAAGAATAATGGATTTCCACTACTTACTCAGGGTTCTTGTGGCCATCTAATGAGATGGCAAGGTTTTTGTAAAGCTAGATGAAACATGTGGTTAAATAGCTATGCCCTCATCGAAACACCAAGCCCTGTGGTTCACGTCAACCTAGCTTATAAAGCTGAAAAGCTGAGGTGAGTAAAGGGACAAGGAGAGATGGGAGGTAATAATAATAATAATAACAAGCACTTTAAGGTTTACAAAGCATTTTAGAAATATTTCATTTTAGGGGCAGCTAGGTGGTACAGTGGGTAGAGCACCGGCCCTGAAGTCAAGAGGACCTGAGTTCAAATCTGCCCTCAGACCAAACACTTGACATTTACTAGCTGTGTGACTCTGGGCAAGTTACTTAACCCCAATTGCCTAAGAAAAGAAAAAAAGATATACTTCATTTTATCTTCACAATGACCCTGGGAGCTTTTTTTTTCCCTTCCTCCTTCTCTCCCTTCCTCCCTTCTTTCCTCCTTTCCTCTCTATCTCCTTCCCTCCCTCCCTTCCTTCCTTCTTTCTTCCCTTCCTCTCTTCCTTCTTTCCTTCCTTCCTAACAGAGATAACGGGGCTCAGCAAGTTCTCAGCCTACTTCTGGTGACATGTGAGCTTTGGCCCCTTATAAAAGTCACCTAGAACTAAAGACTCCTGTTTGGTGCATGACCTTTAGCAAAGGGCCAGAATACATATGTCATCAAAAGTGGCTTGAGTGTATGCTCAGCCCCATCACACCATTAATTCCTTCCTTCTTCCTCTCTCCCTCCTTCCCTTCCTTTTTTTTTTGGGGGGGGGGGCAATTGGGACTTAGTGACTTGCCCAGGGTCACACAGCTAGCAAGTGTCAAGTGTTTGGTCTGAGGCTGGATGTCCACTCAAGTTCTCCTGACTTCAGGGTCGGTGCTCTATCCACTCCCTTCCTTTTCAATGCAAAGGTCATAAACCACTTACGATTACTGCAAATTAAAATTCAGAAAATAGAAAAGTATTTTGCAAAGTACATACCCTTTCCTCTGATCCATGAAGCTACCTGGGCATCAACCGGATGTTCTCATCATACAAAGTCCCAAGAAAATGAAAGCTGCCCCCTACCTCACCCCCAGACAGTAGAGAAGTGTGCTTGTTACCACATTCTCTTACCTTTTATTAGGAGAAAACCATTAATGAGGTCCAGCTCTGGGCCAAATTGAGCATGACCTGCCCTGGAGACACTGAGTATGGAAAGTCATCATGGGGTTTACCTTTTCCCTAAGCAATGGTGGTAGAAATGTGGTTAAAAAGTAAAAACTTCTGATGCCAGGGCAACTGAAAATTGTCATAAATTATTGCTTTAAAAAAAATGATTGCTGTCTCCAGATGTTCAGACATGCATGACTCTGCCCCTGTTGCTTATTTTCCCTATAGTAAAACTATGGTTAACCCAGCATCCTGTGTCACCAGCTACTATTACCTCCTGTGTCTGTTGTCTTATTTATCTTGGTGAGCACTGAACCTGAAAATGGCATTTTTTAAAATGAAACCTTCTGGGTTAAATAGTGCTGGGATTGGCAGTGGTGCACAGTACTCGTTGATATCAGCAATAACTCAGAGCGGGGAGGGTTGGTCTTTATTTTTCCCACAATCCTTCCCTTCTCCTCCTTCTCTTCTCCATCCTGTCCCTTGATTTGGTTTTGGCCTCTATTCATTTTATGTTAAGAATTAGTCTTGGATCATAGATCACAGATTTAGAGCTAAAAGAGACATTCAGGGTCACTTGATTCAAATTTTACAAAGGCTAAGTGTGGTATACTGAAAATACAAAAACAATTTTTGACCTTTTAATAGGGTACCTGGACCTCTAGTGCTTTAGTGTTAGAAGGAATTGATAGAAACATTTTAATCTTCTCATTTTATCACCATGAAACTGAGGCCCAGAAAGATAAAATAATTTACCCAAAATTATACAGCTAGTTAGGGACGGGGCTGTAAGTTCACTCATTTATTCATTTAGTAAGAATTTATCAAAAAGCTCCTCTGTTCCAGGCACTGTGTAAGGTATTGGGAATAAAAAGACAAAAATGAAGTATTATCTGCTCTCAAAGAGCTTATATTCCACTGAGAGGAAACAAGATGAACACAGATAAGGAGATATAAACTATATTCAAAGTTAATACAAAGCAATGTTGGGGTGAGAACTCAAATAACTGGAGGGATCAGTAACGGCCTTTGAGCTGGACCTTGAACAAAGCTAGGTATTCCAGTTAGCAGTGAAAGGAGAGCATTTCAAGCATAGGGTACAGCCTCACCCCTACTGATTTCATTTTTACAGATTTAGGAGACTGGAGCCCAGAGATATGAAATGACCTATCTGAAATTTACACAGCAAGTTTACTGAGAAGCCAAGAGCCAAGACTAGCACCTCAGTCTCCTGACTGCCACCCCATCATTCTGTTTACCACATTGCCCTCTAATCCACATTACCTGCTTCTTCCCCTGATAAGACAACCCTATGTTAAGCACAGCAAAGGAGAGAGTTAAGAAAAATACTAACCAGATGTCACTGAAAATTCACTTTTCACTCTTCAGCACCAAGAAACACTGTAACTGGTTCTGTCTGCTTTGCTTTGAAGCACAGATATTGGGGACCATGCAGTTCACATTAACTCTGTGGCCACAGTTGCAAAGCCACATATAGAGAAAGAGAAGTGAAACCAACATACTGCCAGAAGGCTATTTATGCCAAACTCCTCCCCAAGATTTTGACATTTACTAGGTTTTTCTCTCTTTCTTTTTAAATTGGAATTTTTAAATTAAGGGCTAATAAAAGGAATCAAGTTTATAATCTAGGCATGGCCCTAACTCATCCCTGAAAGTAGATGGTTTCAAGATGGCTATCCTGGAATATCCAGCCCATTCAAAGGATAATGTTTAAGAACTAGAAGGAGTCAGGCATGGGTATGCATGTCCTACAATCCCTGCTGCCAGGGAAGCTAAGACTGGTGAATTGCTTGAGCTCAGGAGTTCTGAGCTATGGTAGAGCTAAAGCCAATTGGGTGGCCAAATTAAGTCCAGCACCAATATGGTGAACCCCCCAAAGCAACAGGGGGCCAATTGGTTGCCCAAAAGGTACAGAACTAGTCTAGGTCAGAAACAGAGCAGGCCAAAGCTTCCACGCTGATCAGCAGCTGACAGACAGTTACACTTCCAGACAAGACAGAGAGACCCAGTTACACCAAAAATAAAATAATAATGAGACTGACTTTCTTGTCCAAATCCTTCATTTTATAGATGAAAAAACCAAGGCCCAGGGAGGAGAAATTATTTGCCAAAGGTCACACATATAGTAAGTAGCAGATTCAAGATTTTAACCCAGGTTCTATGACTCCAAATTCAGTGTTCATTCTACTGCATCACCATTAATAGTATCAAAGTTTTTTAGAAAGATGCCCATTATTAGCCATTTTCCTCAGGAGTGGGTGGTTGAATTCAGTCATGAAGGATCAGATACATGACTCTGACACTAAATCTGTACTTCATGTCATCAGTGCTTACATCCTTTCTTTGTTATACTCTTGTGTCCTGGTTCTCAAATGGTATGTGTATAACACAAGACATTAAGGAAAACATAGACAGGCCACATATGTTCCTGACTGACTGCCTTCCTCAGAGTCTTCCCTATCATTCATTCATTTCCCTATTCTGTCATACACCTTACTATAATTTGCACAGGGTTGAGTCAGTCTCACCAGGGTACACCAGAAATGAAAGCAGTGCACAGATGGCTTTAATACCTATTCCCATCCTACCAAATATGGATGAAGACCCTGGTACTTACTGCCTAAATAACTTTGACCAAGATATTTAAGACAGAATGGTGAACTTGCAGTCAGACAGATCTAGGTAAAAATCTTGCCTTAGACACTTACTAGCCATGTGAACCTGGACAGTTGGGTATAGAAATCTATATTACCTAACAGGGAAATAGGAAGGGAAGGGGATAAAAGAAAGAAGAAGGGTAAAAAGGAGGGTGGATTGAGGGAGGCAATGGTCAGAAACAAAACAAACTTTTGAGGAGGGACAGGGTAAAAAGAGAGAGAAAGAATCTATTATGCCTCAACTGAAATAAAAAAGACAGGGGTAGCAAACATGATGTCAGACAACCAAAAGCAAAAATAGACGTAATTAAAAGAGGTAAGCAGGGAAACTACATTTTGCTAATAGTTACTACAGACAATGAAATAATATCAACATAAAGATGTACATACCAAATGGCATAACATCCAAATCATTAAAGGAAAAGTTAAATGAGTTTTAGGAGGATATAGTAAAACTATACCAGTGGGGGACCTCAATTTTCCCCCTCAGAGTTAAAAAAATCTAACCATGTAATAAATAAGAAAGAAGTTAAGGAGATGAATAGAATTTTAGAAAAGTTAGATGTGACAGACCTCTAGAAAAAACTGAATGGAATAGAAAGGAGTATACCTCTTTCCTAGCTATACATGACACCTTCATAAAAACTGACGTTTTAGGGCATATAACCTCACAAACCAATGTAGAAAAGCAGAAATATTAAATGCATACTTTTCAGTCCATAATGCAGTAAAAATTATATTCAGTAAAAGACTATGGAAGCATAGATTAAAAATTAATTGGAAACTAAATTATTTAATCCTAAGGAATGAGTGAGTCAAAGAACAAATCATAAAAATAATAAATAATTTCATTAAAAAGAATGACAACGAGACTATACAAAGTATGTGGGATGCAGCCAACACAATATTTAGAGGAAAATTCATAATTTTAAACATTTACACCAATAAAAGAGAGAAAGAACAGACCAATAAATTGAACATGTAACTAAATAATTAGAAAAAGAACAAATTTAATGCCCCCCTCAATTAAACACCAAAGTGGAAATTCTGAAAATCAAAGAGGAGAGTAATAAAATTGAAAGTTAAAAAAAAACAACATTGAACTAATAAATAAAACTAGGAGCTGGTTTTATGGGGGGAAAATAAAATAAATAAACCATTGGCTGATTTGATTTAAAAAAAAAAGAAATCCAAATTACAAGTATCAAAAATGAAAAGGGTGAATATACCACCAATGAAGATGAAATTAAAGCAATTATTAGGAGCTATTTTCCTAATTATATACCAGTAAAACCAAAAATCTAAATAAAATGCATGAATATTTACAAAAGCATAAATTACCCAGATTAAGAAAAGAAGAAATATAATATTTAAATAACCCTGCCTTAGAAAAAGAAATTGAACAAGCCACAAATGAGTTCCCTAAAAAAAATACACTTGAATGCTACCAAACATTTAAGGAATAATTCAGTCTGATACCACACGAAATGTTTTTTTAAATAGGCAAAGAAGGAATCCTACCAAGTTTCTCTTATGACACAAACATGGTCTTGATACCTAAATCATGGAAAGAAAAAACAGAAAAAAAAACTATAGGCCAATTTACCTAATAAATATTGATACAAAAACTTTAAATAAAATACTAACAAGGAAAGTATAGCAATATATCACAAGAATCACACACTATGACAAGGTGGGATTTATACCAGGAATGTAGGGCTAGTTTAATATTATGAAAACTATAAACATAACTGACCATGTCAAAACAAAAACAACAAAAATAATATGATTAAAACAATAGATGCAGAAAAGGCTTTTGACAAAATAACAACCATCATTCCTATTAAAAACACTTAAAAATGTAGTAGTAAAAGATTTTCTTCTTTTTTCTCAAATTTTTTATTTCTTTTTCTTTTATTTTAAAATTTTTTCTTCTAAATTTTCATATTTTTTCCAATTATATATAAAAACTATTTTTAACTTTTTTTTTCAACTTTGAGTTCCAAATTCTCTCCCAACCTCTCTCCCCTCCCCATTATTAGTAGGCAAGCAATTTGATAAAGTTTATACATTGCAGCCATGCAAAACATATTTCCATATTAGTCATGTTGTAAAAAAAAAAAAGCACCACAAACCAAAAAAAGAAAAAAAGAAAAAGAAAGTTAAAAAAAAACACAGGATGCTTCAATCTGCATTCAGATTAAATCAGTTATTTCTCTGGAGGTAGATAGCATTTTCCATCATTGGTGTTTCAGAATTGTCTTGGATAATTGTAATGATTACAGCAGCTAAAACTTTCACAATTGATCACCATTACAATATTGCAATTACTGTGTGTAGTGTTCTCCTGGTTCTGCTCATTTCACTTTGCATCAGTTCATGTAAGTCTTTCCAGGTTTTTCTGAAAGCATCCTGCTCATTATTTCTTATGTCACAATAGTATTCCATCACAATTATATACCATAACTTGTTCAGCCATTCCCCAATTGATAAGCATCCTCAATTCCAATTCTTTGTCACCACAAAAAGAGCTGCTATAAATATTATTGGACATAGAGTTCCTTCCCCGCCCCTATCTTTATTTAAATCTCTTTGGGATACAGACTTAGTAGTGGTATCGCTGGGTCAAAGGGTATTCAAAGTTTTATAGCCATTTGGACATAGTTCCAAATTGTTCTCTAGAATGGTTGGAGCAGTTCACAACTCCACCAACAATGCATTAGTGTCCCAATTTTCCCACATCCCCTTCAACATTTGTCATTTTCAGAAGGAGTTTTTCTTTAAAGGATAAGTAGTTTCTATCTAAAACCTAAGTAACCATTATCTGTAATAAGGATAAACTAGAAGCCTTCCCAATAAGATCAGGCGTGAAGATGCCCAATATCGCCACTACTATTCAATATTGTATTAGAGATGCTAGCTATAGCAACAAGACAAGAAAAAGAAATTGAATAAGAATAGGCAATGAGGAAACAAAACTACTGCTCTTTGCAGATAATATGAAATTATACTTACAGAACCCTAAAGAATCAACTGAAAATCTAGTTGAAACAATTAACAACTTTAACAAAGTTTGCAGGATATAAAATAAACCTACATAAATGCTAATGAGCATTTCTATATATTACCAATAAAACTCAGCAGGAAAAGATAAAAAGAAAAATTCTATTTAAAAATAACTGCAAACAATTATAAAATACTTGGACTTCTGCCTGACAAGAAAAACCCAGGGACTATGTGAACACAATTATAAAACACTTTTCACATGAATAAACACAGATCTAAACAAATGGAAAAATATTAATTGCTGATGGGTAGACCAAGCCAAGATAACAAAAATAACAATTCTGCCTAAATTAATTTATTTATTTAGTACCATATCAATCAAATTACCAAAGAATTATTTTATAGAGTTAAAAAAAATAAAATTCATCTGGAAGACAAAAAGTCAAGAATATCAAGGGAATCAATGGGAAAAAAATGTGAAGGAAGGCAGCCTAGCAGTATCAGATTTCAAACTACATTCCAAAGCAATAATCATCCAAACAATCTGGTTCTGGCTGAGAAAAAAAGAGTAGTGGATCAGTGGAATAGATTACATACATAACAACAGCAAAAGACCACAGTAAACTAGTGTTTGATAAGCCTAAAGATCCAAGCTTTTGGGACAAGAACTCAATATTTGCCAAAACTTGCTGGGAAAACTGGAAAGGAGTTTTGCAGAAACAAGGCATAGACCAATATCTCACACCATATACCAAGGTTAGGTCAAAATGGATACACAA